ATCAACGTATTCATTGATCAATAATATACCTTATAATGATATTAATCAAATATCTATGAGTAATATTCTACTTATTTTTTATCAATATTTAAAAGTTATTTTATTATTAACACGAAATGTGAGAGTAGGTTGTATGTTATTATACGTTTTCATCGATGAAATATTACTATATACATTATACGTTCAATCTATACGTAATAAAAGATTGTAACTAGGTATACCTATAATAGGCTATACCTAATAATTACCTGTAATGTCCTATATACTCGCATATATATTAAATAGGTAAATATATTACAATAGTCGTTAGGTAACATCTTATAATGTGTATATAACCTATATAGCCGCTATTAGTGTGTACAGAATTATATTTATTTGTTAGAATATTAGATAATAGATGTTCTTATATTATACTATGTAAAGTATAAAAAGATAGGCACTTAGGTATATATTCTGCTATATAAAGGATTTCAAGTGGGCCCCTGTTATGGGTGGTGTTTTGAATTTCAATGATTTATTATTATAAACGAAAAATATTTTTGAGCAAAGACGATCGTCTTTGATAGATCTATCAGCCTATATTATTACTAAATATAATTCATGATATGATTTTTGGGTACTGGTCTGTTATCGCCCCGCCACGGGAACGAAAAATTTTATCACCCCGCAAATTATGAACGCGACGATTACGAACCTTATCAAACACATTATTTTATTTATACCTACGACAATTATCGCTTTATTTTATTAGTATAGGTAATTTTACTTACGAACGCGGTCACGCTATTTAAAGCGTATAGGTATAAAAATTGAAATATATATATATTTATATATATATTATATAGTATATAGAAATATCAGAAAAATCGTTTATTTAAAAAAAATCATTGATGTAATTTGTTAATTCATTAATTATTTCCAAAATTATATCATTAAAAAAAAATATGTATAATTATATAAAATAAATCTAAAATTTAATACAATTTAAAAATGTATAGATAAAATAAAATAAAAATTACAATAATTACTGTATCATGATGGAGCCAAAATGCTGAGATATCCAATAAAATCTGTTCAAATGAATCATTCTGATTGGTAAGTTTTGATCGCCACATATACTCTGCCATGTATGAGTCAAGGAAATTTCTAGCTGTTCCGCGACGTCGTTTGTTGCTAATTAATAGCAGAATCTTCATTAGAGACTTTGGAATACAAATCTTTTAAATTCATTTTTCAACTGCTGCAATAAATACTTCGACACTGGTACGGATAGAGCTTTAGACATACTGGACATATTGCTAAGTAAAATTACCTAAACTAATAATAACTAATAATAAATTTTAGATTTACCTATTTTATATACTTATACATATTTTTTTTAATGATATAATTTTGGAAATAATTAATGAATTAACGAATTAAATCGATGATTTTTTTGAAATAAATGATTTTTTTCTGATATTTTTATATACTATTTATAAATATTTTAATTTCTTTATACGTTTTAAATAGTGTGGCCGCGTTCGTAAGTAAAATTACCTAAACTAATAAAATAAAGCGATAATTGTAGTAAGTATAAATAAAATAATGTGTTTGATATGGTTCGTAATCGCCGCGTTCGTAATTAGCGGGGCGATAAAATTGTTCGTTCCCGTTCCGGGCGATAACAGATCAGTACCGATTTTTGTTATAATAAACTATATAGTTATTAGTTATAAAAATAATTAATTTTGCTTTTAGTATTAATATAAAAAGATAAAGTTTTTTCGAAAATATTGTATTAGTTATTATAATAATCTATATTCTTACTATATTATATTATTGTAATTAACTCAAAAGCTAATACTTTTTTTTGCAAACACCCTGAAACGGTAAAAATTGGTTCATAGTATAAATAAATAACATCATAAAATAAATAAAAAATTATTCTATATTTAGAATAATAATACAATATACTTAAACATTTTAAGTCCATTAGTATACATGAATATAATGACTTGATTTATAATAAAATAATTGATTTCGTTATTCATCGTAAAAATATGTAATTTTGTTCAAATTTTAACTTTTTCAAATAATTATAAAAAAATAATTATATTTGTAAATTTTTTAAATATTTTGATTCCAGTATGAAATACTTATGGCTCATGAGGAATATTACATTACATTTTCAAACTTAAGTTTTAAAAACTAAAGATTTTATACGTTTTTTATTACAAACTATACTTTGTAATTTATGTAATTTTGACAATTTTTATAAAAAATTAAATTTCAAATACATTAAAAAAAATAAGTATTCTTAATACAAGTATAAAAATAGTTGATGTAGAATCTTGTTTCAATTTTTCAAGAATTTTGACTCGTTAAATATTTTTTATTGAAATGTAAAACAATTTTTAAAACATCAAAAATATTTTGTAAACTGTACCATTTCAAGTTTTCACGATTATTCGTTTTTGAATTACCACAAATAATAAAAATCGTTTGAAGTGAAGAAGAATAGTTATTATATGGATAAATATCCAATGATTCAAACGTTGTTAAAATTTAAACTTCAAATGTTTATAAAAATTAATTTCACACTTTTCACTAAAATTTTTTCTTAATATAGGTTAAAAAACATATAAAGAACCATGTATTAAATTTTTATATCTCAGTTATGAAAAATTTTTTTTTATAGTTTTTCAACTACAAAATAGTTGGTAAATTTTAAATTTTTGACGTATTATGTCTTTAAATGACTTTAAATGCTTATAAAAAAATATCGAAACCATACATTTTCATTGTTTTTAAATAAAATTAGGAAATGTACAACTTATTATTTAAATAGAACATTGTATCAAGTTTTTACCTATTATAGTATTATACCCATTAATAACTTTTATAAAACTGAAAAATTAAAAACTTTCAAACGACTCAAAATATTTGAAATTTATATTATAAACAAAAAATGATTACCAACGAAGCATTTTGTAAAAATAATAAGTTTTTTCGGTTCTTCATTTTTGAATTATAACAAAATAAAGATATAAATCTTGTGGAAACTTGTTTAGGGTACAAATACTCATTTTTCCTTAATTTTTGTTTATTATGAAAAAAATTAGGAAACTTAAACTTTTTAGGTTATTAACTAGATCCAATATTTTTTCTAAACCACACTGAAAGTTGAAAATCGGAGAATCTTTCTGCTCAAAATCTATAATACTATTTTTAATATTTATGTGTAATGATACTAATATATTTAATATCTGGTAGATGTATCTTTAGCATCTATTATTGGTATAGTTGTAATTTTCCTTATATATTATATTTTGTTAGTTTAAAAACGGAACAATTAATGAATTAATATCCAAAAACTTTTGTCGGGACACTCAGTTATAGATTTTTGAAATATGAACTGCTTTGTTTAAAAAAGTGAACTTTGCCACCCTATAATGCACTTGAATCATTTATTCCGGTTATTATGGGTTGTCAAGGGCGTTTAGTAGTAAGACGATTTAAAAAAATGAAAAATAAATTTAAGCCGTCTCACCTATTATTATTTTTTGCCGTAATACATAATACATTATAAATCAACTTAATGAGTAATATTATGTAGTAGCCTATCTGCCTGTCTGCAGGCTATCTGATGACTGAAATAATGATAAAAGTACAACAAAATTCAATAAATATGTAAGTGACGTACGATTGCAACAGTCATTTGCCAACCATTACGGTTCTAGATCCATTTATAGATGTTGTATTCTCGGATTTGCAATCGTTCGTTCGACGTACTCTAGATGTACAGGAATCTAAGTATTTTACTTACGATTCTATGAATATATGGATCTTAAACCTCTTCAACGACGTTATAATATTACAATATGCGTACGGCCCCAATTGCGGCGGGGCACATATAAGTGTCAATCGATCGTACCTATATATAGTCTCAAGTCGGTAACCGAGTTCTCGTTCCCGCTGTAGTGTTTTATATAACGTGTGATGTATATTGTACAATAATTAGTGCATAGGTCGTTGGGCTCAGTAGTATCGGTCCGCCGTGTTTTCGTTTTCTCAGCGCCACCGACCGGTCGGGTGATCGTCCGCTCAATCGTTTAGGCCAACGTCGGTGTAGTCGTCGTCGAGTCTCGTCGATAGGGCTGGCGTGCGAGCGGGGTACATACCGGACAAAATATGTGTGTCTGTGTGTGAACCGGTGCCCGAAGATACAATAGTAATAATATAATTATCATAATACGCTGCACCGTAGTGTAATACTACGACTCGTGGGGAAAAAATAAAAAACCAGAAATCGTTAACGAGCACAGGTGTGTTGCATCTACAGGCAGGCAGGCAGGTATGTAGGTATAGGTATATTATAGTCGTTGGTAGTCCGGTGCGCAACGAGTTTTCATCTACGGCCCCAACGATGGTCGAACAAAAATAATAATAATAATATTAATGTTGCATACGCGCGCACCACCGGGGCACTATTATAATATACATATACGACGACGATGACGGTTACCTATACTCGGATACCTGTTGTAACATTAACCGCGGCGGATGTGGCGGCGCAGCAGTCGTCGTGCCGGATCTCCGCGCTCCCACCGACCAGAGCCGCCGCCGCCGCCGCCGCCGCTGTAATTTCGAACTACGCAATCGTCGACGCGTCCTCGTCGGTTTTTTTTTTAATGATCATAATAATATCCTTTCCCCCGTCTCCTCGGCGTCTTGGTAGTGGTGGTGGTCTTATGCGCCGGTGTTGCGGTGAAGAGGAGAGATCGGCCGGACGCGCGCGCGCACACGCCGCCCGAAGTCACCGAACGGCGAACAGTCGTCTTGACGTTTTCGTCGCGGCATAGTCCACTGCCGTTCGGTCCGCATCGCGAACGTATCGTACGCGCGTCGAAGTGTTATGTTGTACTTCGGGTCGAGCAACAACAACAGCATCATCAACGACGTCGTCGCAGCAAAGTACACCGCGAATTATAATAACGAACAACGGTCGGCTGCGGACGATGGCCGCCACGGCGGTGACGAGAGCCCAAAACCGGGCCATTGCAAAGGTCGGTATAGTTGTTGTTGTTGTTTACGCAATTTGTTTAACCAACCACTTATTATTATCAACCGAGAACATAACGCGGTGTACGTCTAATAGAGATATGGCCGTTACGTCGAGCGTACAGGTGTTAAAAAACGATGGGCATCTGCGAGTTCCTATACCTACAGTATTCTAGTCGCATTTATAGTTATTATTCTAAGCCCGCCTTTTTTTATTACACCTGTATTGCACGCGAACCTAGTTCAGCGGCCAAGTCAAAGTCTAAAAGAATCAAGGCGATCGGATCGCCTGATCCATTTGTGTGTGTGTGTTTAATAATAGTATAATGTAGTGTTATTACGATATTACCTAGGAGGTATGTTAAGTGTGAATGTGTGTATGTGTGTGCGTGTGCACAAGATTCCCCCTCGCATGTACTCCCGTCGACCGTGTAACTGCGCGCGTATAACGGTTCCGTTCTAAATTATTATACCGCTTTTTATCGCTCCTATATTATTACTATATTATTACTATTGTATCCGCAGACACCAGCCACGCTGTTATTAATGTATAGATATATAATGTAGGTACCAGGAAATCTGTGCATGCCAAACTCGGCCGTCCGAGCGGCGAATACACGCATAAACGTATATAAATAAATAAATACGTGTAATAACATATTTAAACGAGAATGTACAATACCTGTACTATCTATTTGTAATAGGTATACCTAGGTACAATACGACACATCAGGCGGTATAAGAGCCGAGGAAATATTACAAACAGCATGTACGCGATGCGTATTAGTGTGTACAGGCATTGTATACCTATTGTAAATTGGACGTGACATTGGACGGATTGTGATGTAGGTTGGTAGGTAGGCAGCAGTAAGATACACAATAATAGTGCCTATACATATCGAGAAATATTTACTACGATAGTACAATGTATGCCCGTCAATAGGTAGCAGTGGCGATGAAATATTGTGCGGCATCGATGATGTACCCAAATAAAACGCGTGTCAACCCGTTACAATGTACCCGTTTGTCAGCACAATAGTAGGTACCTATCGGAACGTGGCTGCGACCACGAGTGTAATAAAAGTACCTATCTAGTACACTGATATACTATGTAGGTATACCACCTACCTGTTGCGAGATGTTGTACACGAATAATACCGGCAGTGTTGTACCTACGTTATTTTTTTTCTATTGCCGACACAGACGATTGCTGACAAAGACCATCACAATAAATAATACTAATGAATACACATTCAGACGATACTGCGCTACGACTGTTGTACACTTATTACGTACACGTAGATTTTTATTGATGAATATACAACGCCGAATGGTAACAGCTTGCCCACGGGACTATGAACGAATGCAACGCACATCAACGGAAAACGCTTCCCCGAGTCATACCTCGCAGCTGTAGAAAGCGAATCGAGAAATTATTTTTATTGTTGTTATTCGTTAGATTTAGAGGCCGCGTCACCGTAATACATCATACAATTAATGCGTACTATGAAGTATGTACGGTTGTACGGTTTTTTTTTAGTATATGGGTAAAAAATATACTTGTATTTGTTTTGAAACTTCGTATCACGTTTTCCGGTTCCGCATCAGCCAAGTCGGTTGACTAGTGGCTGCATAATGCATTGTATACATTATACGCTGTTTAACCTGATTCGATACGATTTGTATTTATTGACGTTTGTTTGTTGTCTTATATAGGGCACAGACCCAAAGGCGGCCACTTGTCGGGCAAAGTTGCAACGAGCGAGGTCTGCTCTAAACAAGCAGATGGACCGGGAGCTGCGGTTACGCGAGGGCGCTGAGAATCTGTTGCGGTGAGTGTAAAATATATTATAATACAATAACTTTTTTCCCCAGTAATTTTACGCCACAGCAGTGTAGTATCATTATACCACAATATATGTAATGAACGACGTTTACTCGCTGTTTGTAACCTTATTAGTTATGTACCATGTACTTTAATGTTACGACGTCTTCTTAAAGTAAACCGCGAAATTTATGGTCTTAGTTGGTTCAAGGTTCAACCTTAACTGTATGTTATAAGGTAATATAAGCGTTATAAGTGATGCATTAAAAACGAAAATCGTAGTTAACTTGTGGTTTACCACCAAATAACTAAATTGTGCAGCCAACCACACTACTAGAAAATTTTTCAAGAAATCGTGTTTCTTATTTACTTTGTACGTCTTTATAATAACATGATGAATGTTTTAGGGCTACCACTAAGAATAGCGGTAGTAGTGATAACAGCGGTATCGTCGGTAGTGGCGGTGGTCGCAAGAATAAGAGCAAAAGTAGAAAGCTCATTAGGCAAACGGTGGCACTGGAGCTAAGTTTCTTAGATTCCAACGTCCGATTGCTGGCTGACGAGCTGGCTGAGCTTAACGGTTCGGTTGACGTGTATCAGTATCGAGACGACGACGATGACGACAATGTAGATGATTTTGACGGTCGCCGTTGTGATTCTGCAGTGGAAGGTACCAGTGCAGACGGTACAATAGCGAATCGACGACGACTGCGACGGCAACGGTTAATGCCCATGATTGCTGTGCCGTTAAAGGACACTAGACCAATAGATTTTGGTCCACCACTCGAGGTAATATTATTTTATGACAAATTTACTGCCTATCCAATTTGCGTGTGTGTCTGTGTGTGATAATCATATTTTCCAGTCGGTAGTTGCGTACATAGATAGTGCTCGAATCAGAATAATAGTAAATCCTACTTACTCAATAAAATAAATTTCAATATTATTTAAAATTACCGTTGCTTAATAAAACTTAAAAGGATTTAAATATGTTAACATTTAAAAAATGAGGAGCAATATGTAAAAATCAACCGACGCATCTGTTCAGTTTCTTCAATAAAATTAGACTGTAAATTTTAATATATCTTATAAATCACATAGCGGTTCATCAGTCAACACTATGGCGTGGATTTATCAGCGATACCTGAAGAGACAAGCGCTGTCAGAGGTGGTGTAGGAGACGACGGAGATGACTACGATAGCAGTGGCAACACGACGCGGCGACGTTTATTATCGTTACGTGAAGCTATAGACGAATTGACGCAGCTCCGGGTGGTATGTATAAAATATACGCGTTATGTGTACTCACATTATGTTAAATCAAATGTATAAAGGGTGTGAGGTGTGTAAAAAAAAAAAGTAGAATTTGAGTACGTTCCATAAAATTTATTTATTTGAAAGTTTAAGTTTAAACTATAGAAATAAAGCTATGAATATAAAACTTAAATGCGTAAAACATTTAAACAATAACATAGTTTGTTTTAAAAATTAGTATTCGCAGCAGGTGACAATAATAATAATATAATATAATAAATATGTCATGTTATTAGAATATTGCAAAATATTTATCTCTGCTAAAGTAGACATTGAGTACATTGGTACGAGAGCATTTATTTTAGGAAAATCTTGCGATGTCGCGGGGCCCTATAAAGAAAATGCCAATATAATTGTTTAAATATTTACGTAAGCGGTAAAACATATTTTCGATTGACATTTTTTAAGACAGGCTCCAACCTCCAAGCTTATAATAATATTATGCACGAGTAAAGTAGTATATCAGTTTATAGGTATAATTTAAGCAAACGTAACGCACGTGAAATTTAACCAAAGTTGAATCCAACGTCATCTTTTTACAGGATACGCAGACGCCTAGCAGAGACTTAGATGGCGTTCGACTTTTGCTGAGGTACTACAGGCAGTTGTACTACGTGGACCGCAGATTTTTCCCACCCACTCCAACGGTGGCACCGGTGACAACAACATCGCGAAATTATCACCAAAATAATCGCCAACTGCAGGACCCAGCCTATCGTCACGTTAAGCAGCAACAGCAACAGTACTCGACCATCGTCGGCTCGTCGTTGTATTCACCACCGCCAGCTATTTATTTCGAGTGGTAATCTATTTTTAAAACATAATATAACATCATGATAAGTTGAAAAATGCCCAAACATATTATAAAACAACTATAGATGAATATAATTAGCATTATCATTTGACGAAATTCGCTATTAACAAGTTGTAGGTACTTGGACAGTATTTACAGTATAATAAACAAGTCTTATAATTTAATATTTTTATGTATTGGTAGGTAAGCGTATGGTAATTTATTCAAAATGTTATTACCTATTAGGCACCGAAATTATATGTGCTAAAAACGTACTAAACATGCATGTAATTATGCATTGATTATCATTCAAATATACACTTTAAATATGCAAAAATATGTAAAAAAAATTGATTAAAAAAATGTCTTTTATTAAGTATAAATAAATAAAATCGAATGAAAGTTATGCACACACGGATCACGACTAATACGACAAATGTATGATTTACTAAAATCAGTAAAATCTATTCAATAACAGATTATTACTTGTCCCGTGTCTTAAATAAGATAAGAAAATAACTTTGTCCAATACATGGACTATAAAATATAACTATAAATACGTTATTTTAATTGAAATAAGCAAAATATTACATATTATGCATTTAAAAACCGTATACCTATATGCAATGAAAAAGTCGTAAAATACAGATATATGTAATACATGTCAATAAATGATAAAATATGCAAAAAAAACTTTATATTTAGGAACTATTGATTACAAATCAAAATTGAGGCTTACTGAGCTATTTTTGGACTATTCAGAAAGAACATGCAAATGCATATTAATCCGGGCCCTAGTTATTTTACATAATTGTTTAATAGTTGTATTGTATATTAATCACTAATTTGCAACTAATGTAGTTAGTTTATTGTTGATTAAACAATTAGTTAACCAAGTCTATGGACTATCAACTTACTCCAAATTAAATCATGATTTTGAAATATTTATAAAAACTTACTACAATTAATAAGTTAGCTATAGTTGTTTTATTTTATGCCTGTAACGTCAATGGATAATGATAATTTTTATGAAAATTATTATTTATAATAAAGGTTTAGGTCTTCAATCCTATTAGATTCGGGACCCGAATTTTATTTGTTTTGTACATTTGATTATATGACATATTTTTACTATATACATGTAATATATTATTTTAATAATTAAAAGTATATTACTATTATATATTAAAGCTCATGTGATTTAAAATTGAATTTTGATTCACCAGTTGAGACCACTAATTTAAATTTTAAATGATAATATTATACGCATGCCAGTTTACCGATGGGTGATTGTCGACGTTCAATAATTATTTTTTTATCATTATTTATTTATACTTTTTATTTGCTTGTTATTAAATTTAATTTGTCTTATAAGATTGAAAGTAAACACACCACACTGTATCATTATTAGTGATTTTTCGTATATTATATACAAATATACATCACTATTTAATATTTATAATGAAATGTGCAATAACAACGTTGATGAAACATTAAAATATAGCTCATCACGCTGAATTAATTTAAAATAATTAAAAGATTTAAAATAGAATTTGCGGAAATTAATATTTAATATTAAATCGATTAAATAATATGAGTTTAACAACTATACCTAACAATTGTTTGACAACTTCGTAGTCTACGATGTTTATTAGTATGTTACTTAATTCTGGTAATTAATATAGCATCAGCTGAATCGTACTACAGGTGATTTATCAAGCATGCTCAAATCCATTTTTTTTTCTAATAATTACGAGTTTCAAATTTTGTTTCTAGAATTTTAAATATACTCAGTGAACATATTTTTAAATAGGTATTTATATTTTTTATAGCATTAATGAAATATCCTTTACTCCGTGACAATATTAATTTTTTTTTTCAATAAAAATAACCCTTTATTCTTATAAATTGTTAATCAGATGATTTTTGGAAGATTTTGATTACGTATCTATCTAAATCGAAATTTGAACAAGTATAGTTTTTGAATTACTTAACTTTATGTACTAAACTAGAATAGTAGATCTATACAAATTGTTTAAAAAATATGAGAACTATGATTATTTGAGCATTTTACTATTTTAGTAATTAATCTATCTAAATTTTCTTTTATTGTCTAATATCTTTTAACTTAAATTAAAAATTATGAAAGTATATAAGTTGCTATATTATATGCACGAGATGGGAAGAGAAAATAAAACTTGATGTTGTGACACCTTAAGAGGACCTGCCACGTTCAGCAGTTATAACTTTGTGTGTTTTGCTTAAATATTATAGTCAAATGACCTATTATCAAACTTAAAAATGAGAAAATTATCTCTTGTTGATTTTTACGATATTTTAATTATTCGCATTTTTAAATACGTATTAATATTTTACATACTCATAACTTGCTTATAAATAAAAATACCGTAAGACACCGACGAGAAATTACAGATAATGTTGTTAACTTTAAGTTTAATAATGCCAATAGGTTATTTTACCCTAGTATTTAAGATAAACTTACAATATTTAAACTGTAGAACGTATATATTATATGGTATGTGTTAGTAAGACGGAATCAACACAGCGGATGTAAGCATGTACGATGTTCTCTTAAGTATATGTAAAAAGGTAAATATTTGAAAGTTCTAAAAATCAGAATTTGAATAATTTCATAAAGGATAAAAAGAGTGGCAAACGGGTATATTGATCTTCTGTACATGAGATTTCGAGCAGGAAAATTTAAATTTAAATATAATAATATATTATATATTATTGTTTACAAAAAACAATTATGAGTGAAAACGTTCTGAAAATATTAACACAAACAATTAGTAAAAGTTTTAAGTATCTAAAGTTACTCATTTTTGAATTATAACAAAACATTAAAACTCGTTTGAAGAGAAATAATTATTATGTAAATGAACTATTTTGCAAAATCGTAAAAATTTAACTTCAAACGGTCATTCAAAATTAATGTTACTTTCCAGTAAACTTTTTTATTTTTATTATAGGTAGAAAAAATTAATGACTAGCATTAAATTTAAAAATTTTTATGAAATCCAAATTACAAAATAATTTGTATGTTTTCCAGATTTTAACAAATTTAGATAAAATTCTAGCTTTAAACGCTTATTAAAAAATATCAATAGTTACTATAAGTTTTCAATACTTTTTAATTGATAATTTTTTAGTATTTTTACTCAGCGATAAATTAAATCAGCATTATTTTAAAGGAAAAAATCAAACTAAAATATCAACATTTTTAATGTCTATTTATAGATCAAAAAGAGTTAAAATATTTTGAAAATCTTATCATGCATAGAAATTGACAATCTAAACATTTGGTTACGCGTATCTATGACTTAGTTATGTTTTTAAATTACAACAAAAGTTTTGTTTTCCTCATCCCCTCTCTCCCAATTATTTTGAAAAGTATGTTTGATAAATCATTCTTTGTACGTATAAATCAATAATATAATTTACTCGTGCGTATCGCCCAAGAAGGTATTCAAAACTCTCGATGATCTTTTGTAATGTAATATTGCGGTTAAGTCTGAAATATCTATAGCTCGATTAGATCTTGCAGTATACTGTACACTAGTAAAAAAAATAACAAAAAAAAAAAACAAAATTATGCTACAAACAATTAGTGTATAAAAAACTTATTACACATTCAAAAATTCAAAAATCAAACTAACTAATCCCGTCTTTGCGTTAGGTACGATTCATTCGGTGGTCCAGTGCCGTCGTGCGGCCAACGCACCGTCCGGTTCGAACAAGCGTGCGTACTGTTCAACGTGGCGGCGGTGCACACGCAAATGGGCGCAAAGTACGACCGCCGTTGCAGAGACGACGCGGACGATGGCGACGACGACGATTATAGCATGAGCATTGGCTCGGGAAAGCGGACCGGATCTTCGTCGACGTCTACCAGTCCGGAAGTGACGGACGGGGCCGCGGCTGCCGCGCAGTGCTTTCTGCGGGCGGCTGGCGCGTACCGGCACATCGGCGACACGTTCGCCAATGCGCCTGCTCGTGCTGCCGATCTTCGCGCCACCGGCGTCCTATACGCACTCATGATGGTCAGTGATGTTGATTTGTTTTACATTTATAATACTCGTCGGCACGATAGCATATACATATTACGTATATATTATATAGTATCGATGGCAAAGGGCTAAAAGTCGTACCGTACGTGTTTGTTCTAAAAGCATAATTTGTTTAATACCGAGGGGATTATAAGCCTGAGTAAATCGATCGCGTACCAAAGCAACGCGAAAGGGGGTGGCCTACGGGTCATTACTGCGGGTCGTGGTAGTATTTTTCACCACAACCATGTGCACTCTGGCATGAATCTTAAAGTCTGAAATAGTGGGCGGGAGACGGCTAAATTTATTTTTAGAAACAATGCAATTATTGTTATTTTAGTATACGTCACGATATATAGATTATAAATCCATAAACGACATTATAAAAATAAGATTTGATTGCTATATATATATATATATTAAAAAAAATTTCATTTATATTTTAAATCATAGATTTAATATATAATTTACTATTTAATTTATAAGATGCCTAAAGAATGGAGGCGGGAGTAAAGCCTCATTGGTCACTCTTCTAGATTCATGACTGCGTACGCTTGGCCTAATTGCAACTTTTTTCGATTAATTTATTTTTAAAATACGAACTTCATATTCTAAGATCAGTTGATATGTAATGTAGCGAAATCAAAACCCGTATTCACTGATTCAATTACACGAATTATTTTGATGTTAAAAAATAAAAGAGCCGGAATACAACAATATTTGCAGTGCTTTACGACTTTTAGTCTAATGGACATTGAAATAAATGATTTCGACAAATATTTATTGATGTGCTTGTTGTGTATCACTTATAGGCTCAAGCTCACGAATGCGCTTTTGAGAAATTACAATGGCGGTTCTTGACGTCTGTTCGGCAGCGGTGTCGTCGTCGACATCATCGAGGCTACGGAGCAAAAGAAGTTGAAGCCAGTGCTGAAGGACTTGGCAGTGGTGACCGTCGTGGCCGTGGTGACAGAGATGCAGCTGTCGTTGGTGGTAACATGGGAAGGACGTTCGAAGCAAATACATCGACATGGACAGAGTTAGCTCGTGAAGCGGCACACGTTAGTACTTTTTTTTACATACAATATATTACGCGTAGAGGATAATAAAAACTACTAACGATAACCGTATGCAAGTCATGTATTGTGTACATAATGTTTCAAGTATATGTACAGCGTATATTAGTTATATTATACCTACGTAATACGTTTAATTACATGGTCAGATTGTCAATTGCCATTACAATCGAATACTGGTCTCAATAATCAATGGCGTGACAGTAACGATATATTTATTACAATCCATTGAAACAACAAATCGAGTGTCTACAATGTTTAAAATATAATTATTTGTACAAAGCATTAAACATTGCACTAAACTAATAACTATAATCAAGGTTTGACATTAAACAGTTATTTCGTGTAAATTTTCGAGTAAATTGAATTTTTCGCAACTTTAAAGCAGGTGATACATATATTTAAAGTTACATCTGAATAGAAAATAATTGGATAATATCAATATAATTTTTGTTGTAATTTCCGAAAATTCAAATTTTTCAAACACCATGTACTCGTATTAATACGAAATAATTTTTTTTTTTTATTTATTTCAAATATTTAGCATTGTTATTCTTTTCGCGAAGAAATAATTGACGTATAGATAATAAAGCGATTTTTGTAATTTTACCCTTATAGTATCTGTTATAACTTAATATATAACTGTAACTTGTAACCTGCAGTTTAAAATAACCAAATCACCTACTCTGCAATTTGTAATCGGTCACATCTAATCGAGTAACTATATTGACTTGGTACGATGTGTATGCTTACGGGCGGCCGCTGTGATTACTTTTACCTAAAGAATAATATTAAGTTTTCGTTGTGAAGGTATCGCGAATGTACGGAGACGTGGTGTACAACAGCTGCTGCCGTCCGTCCAACGACAAGACCGCCAACCGCGGTAAGGAAAACGGCGGCGAGCCGGGCGGCACGACGACACCTGCGCCCATGTTGCCGGACGTCTGGGTGGCCGTGTGCAAGATCAAAGACCGACACTACGCGGCACTGGCGTACCGGTTCGCCGCATGCGCTCTGCTCCCGCACCGCCGATGCAGCGCGGGCGAGCAGCACCACGCGGATGGTGCCCGTCGTCGTAGCACCGTCGACTCGGACGCCGGCCAACTGCTGACGGAGCTGACGGCGGCTGCAGCAGCCGCGGGTCTTGGGATCGTCGACGACGACGACGACGACGACGACGACGACCGCAATGGCGAGGCGACCTCAGTGGTGGCGCGACAACGGCGGCGTCGCAAACAACTCGGTAAGGATTCAACTCTAAAACATGTTATTTTAGTGTTTGACGTGCAAAGAGTTTACCGGTTGTTGTATACTATATAGTGAGATGCGTGTGCGAGGCTAAAGACGTTATTCCTAAATGTCCTCGCTATAGCTGCCTCCCGAAAATGTTATTATTATAATCTGCAGTGCGTCGGTGAGCGATGTTAATAACACCACTTTGTGTTTTAATCTCAATAACCGCGTTGTTTATTCGCCATTCATCCGTTGTCCGTGTACCGACGATGGCGCTACTGCAGAGTTCTTGCACCTTAAACTTTTAAATTCCACGTCTCTATTAGTGTTTTGACGACGCGTAAAGCTCTAAAAATGTATCCGGTGTCTTATTCGTTCATACATAAGGCAGTAAAATGTTTGGAATTTTCTTATGGTTTTACATTTTTACGATGGCATACCGAAAAATCTTGTATGTGAGATGTTCAAAAAAATTATGAATACAATTATTATTATAAAACATATTTTCAAATAATGTATACCATTTTTATTTTATAAATTTAAACCTGCTATATGATGATTTTCAAATAAAATGGTTACAGAGTTTAAATCGATTCATATTATAGTAATGACACAAAAAAAAAATTACCTATATATATATATATATATATAATGACTGTTTTATTGTGATAATTGAACGTGATCTACTGCAGTGGTCCTAAGTCTCTGATCAACACCTTACCGCTACCGGAGATGATATTTTATGTACTGTTATTTTTAATAATCTATTATGTTTCATGTTTTCGTTTCATGAGTTTAAAAATAAAAAAAAATCCGTTCGTTGGTCGCAGACGAACTCATTAATCCGTAGAACCTCGTTGCAGGTATGTTATTGCTTGAGGCGGCTGCAGCGGCCCACGACCGAGCGGACCGAGCACAGCGACTGTGCCGGCAGCTCAGGGCTAAATCCGAGGGGAATACGTCGGGAAGCGGCGGCGGAGGTGGTTTACTGGCCGGCGTGTTGGACCGAGAACGGCAGCGGACCGTTCGGTTGTTGCTATCGCAACGCCGGGACGAAGTTGGCGACGACGAGTACGGTACGACCGAAGGCGACAACGACCGCAGAGTTAGCCGTGCCGAAAAGAGCCCGTGCTGGGATTGCCGGGAATGTTGCTCGGACGACGACGGTGTTGATGCTGCCGCGGTAGCCGATTTCTGTTCGGACGATCAAGAGGAGTTTACCGCGGCCGGCATCGCTGGCATCCCAGGTCTGGACGTGGATCGCGGTGTGCTAATCAGACGTAAGTATTGAGTACCATTAACCAGCCGTATTCCTGTACACCCCTAACTTCAAATGATCGATATAGCTTATGTCGGTATGTCTATGCTTGCTATATAAGTTTAGTACCTCATCTGTGTACATGACATAGTCACTGATTTTTATGACGTGTTTTCGTTATGAAACTTTAAAAATCTAAATAGTATATCACTCACACGTTTAGAATGTTCTAGTGGAAAATTAAAAGATTATATACAAATTAAAAAAAAAAAAAAAAACATTGGTAAATAAAAACAATATATAGTATACCTACGCTTAAAACGATTGCAAATATTTTGTCTTGGTATTTGATTTCCAGATATTTATCACATCTGATTGTGGATCATAGGTTTTAAAAATATTCATCGATTGTTCAATTATTGTCGTTTACAAATTTAATAAAATATTATTATCATTGAAGCAAAATGTTTGTATATATGGTTTTTTACGTGGATAGTAGGATTTAATATAATTAGTGTCAAACTGTTACTGCCGACATTAATAAAATCAAACGTTTAAAAGGTTTTATAGATATTGTTTTTCCGAAGCAATACGCGAAAATAAAATTATAAATACAAAATAATTTTAAACATTGCCTCGTATTTTATCGACCGTTTAAAAAATCCAGTAAGAAAATTGTCGAAATAACCTTTGAAAAAAATAAAAAAATAAAAAAAAAACCTTAAAAAACCATAGAAATAAAAATAATAATCTACGGACTTGGGCACCTTTATAGTGCTTGTTGTTATCCGTGTTGTTAAACCCGCAGTTCAAGTCGTGGTGTATAACTGCGTTTTTTATTTATTTTTTTTGGTTTTTTCGTTGACCAACGCACAGCGCGGACCAGATTTCGGTTGATGTCGATTGCGCCCGACTTCACGGATACCGGTGACGGGGACAACTTCGGAGACGACGGCGACGACGCGGACGGCGGCGGCGAAGACCGACACCGGCAGAATCGCGAAGAGCGGCAGCACGAGACCGCCGACCGCGAGGAACGCAGAGTCGACCTGTTCGCCGGGCTGGGGCCCGTGGCCGTGTTCTCGGCGCGGCACCAGTGTTCGCGGCCCCGCTGGGTGAAAGTGGCCCGCGGCGGCGGCGGCGGCGGCGGCCGTCACCGTTCGCCCGGCGGCGACGAAGGCGTCTGCGACGACGACAAATCCGCAGACCCGATTCAGCTGGTGGACCGGTGGTTTGGGTTGGAGTTGCGCAGCCACGGCGGCGGCACGGCGGTCGCGGTCCCGCCGGCTACCGTGGGACACGTCCGGTCCAGTTCTCAGGCACAAGTATGTCAATCGTTTCCATTCCTTAGTTTTCGAGTACGCGGCCGTTATCGGCAGCCGCCCGTTGTGTTGACGAGCGTAGGCGCGATAGGCATACAACACGAATAATTATTATACTGTCTGCTGACTCAGGGGCGGACTGGGTATCGAGGGGTCCGGAGGGTTAACTAACTGGACCTATTAATTATTATCATATTTCAATTAATAAACATTTTTAGTTAATAGTGCACAATTAATTTTCATTCATTTGAAAATAAATGCCGTTTTAGTATTATATTTTATACTTAAATATTATGTATAATTTGTATTAATTAACACTATCAAGGGCCCGGGAGGTGATTGCCCCTTTGCCTCCTTGGCCCAGTCCGCTCCTGTTCGTTGTATACACACATGTAAATACAATGTCGTGTACGTATATTATTATTATTATTGGCGGTTTTGTGCCGACTGTCGTAGAAGCGGCGTAGAGAACCTAAAGCTATAACAGGTAGAGACTATTGGCATTTTGACGATACTTTCGTTTCACGTATCCGATAGGTAGGTACAGTTTTTATCAAACTTCACGATTATTTCGTTTCCGCCTGTACCATAATAATAGTAACTATTTCTATAACATTACTTCCACAAGACGTCTTACGTCAAAACACATTTAGATATCTATTTTAATTTTTATTTTTTATTTTTAATTTTATTTTTTGCTATAGATATCGGATGCCTGTATAATTATTTTATATATTTTTAAGCTTTTGACTTTTCCGTGACTTGTTGCACGGCACGTTTTTGCCACAGATATATCGTATTTATACATGTTTTTCGGCAAGACAACTAGTATTATATGTACAAGTGAATTGTCAAAACAATGTAGTACTTACTTGTCCATAAGCGGCGATTGGGATTGGGGGGTGCTTAGAGGAGGCTTAGTCCTCCAAAATTATCGAAAAATGGCCACTGGTCTTACAACCAATGGTAAAATATACGTTGTACCTAATTGTTACATTTCGTCACATACTGTAACATATTTTTATCAATCAACAATAATATAGTATACAATTAATTGCTAGCAGTCAAACAACTTTCTTGTTATTAATTATTATAATTATAACTCGGAACTTAATGCATTCAAAAAGTACTAAACATGCATGCATTTATGCGCGCATAATAGTACAAATATGTTTTAAAAATGTGTACTCATTATTTTTTCTTCCCACAATTTTCATAAATACGAATATTTTGTAGAAAAATATTTTTATGTTTTATAATTTGTACTAAATATTTATTTATAAAAACAGAAAATTGTATGTCAATTAAGGAATTGAAAAATACCATACAATAACATTATCTAGTGAAAACCCTCAAAATATAATTTACATTATACCTAAAGTATTTATTTTTTTATTTTCAAATCGTATTTTCAATACATCATTATAGTCATCAAATATGCTCTTAAAATTGAAAAATCACTAAATATACAAAAATATGCACTATAAACTTTTAATATTATTTTCACGAAATCGTGAAATAAATTTCCAACTTACGAGTACTTATCAATAAATTTAATAACGAAAAAAAAAAAACAACATGCAAATGCAATAACTTCTAAGTCCTAATTTTATTATTATACATTACTAGGATGCCACACCCGGATATTTCTTGTCATCGTCTTATGAGTGCGCAACGTGGCAAATTTACGCTTGGCAGTTCGCGTCTAACTTTATTAGTTTTTAAATAAAATTTAAATGAATTAATCCGTTATGAAAGTTAATGACGGCATAAGCATTCGATAATTTTGGTGAGATTTCAACGAAAATTATAAACTTTGACTCGTTGATATCAATACTACACCTAGACACACGCGATTGAATCATAGAGTGTGATGAAAATACAATTTTTACCCGATTTTTGTTTAAATACATAGTTTTTTTTTTCTGTAATCCGACAGAGAACTATGGTCACAGCGATCCCTGCACGTCTATCGGATTAATAAGACTCTACTGTATTAGTAATTTTTTTTCTTCTCATTTTATAATCAACTATTTTACAAGTCGACAATAGGTTACACATTGTGTTGTTAATATTATTACATTTATTATATTATACTGTGTTCTCGATACAGCACGTCGGCCTGAGACGCGGTGACATAGTGGTGGCGTTAAAGCTATGTTCTAGCGATGGCGGCGGCAAGGCAGTGGACGTCAGGTGGGAAACGTGCCGCAGGGTGGCCGAGCTTATAGTCCACCATCATCAGCGGCGTCGGAAGTCTAGTTCCGGCGACGGAGCAGTCGTCGTCCAGTTGAAAGTTGTCACGCCGATCACCGCCGCGACAGCGTCTGACATCTACTCGGTCGCAGATCCAAACAAGGTAGGTAGTCTAGTGTGCCTACCTACACATTATACATAGTTTCATAACAAACATAATAAACGATAATAAATATGATTTTATTAATTTTCATGTGCTGAAGAGTTTTGATAGGTAATAATCCTGTTTTAATTTTAATCATTTTTCGATTTTTGAAAATTCGTTTAAAATGCCGCGCCGTTTTACAAATTCAACTCTAATTATGACGACGTCTGATCACAGGTCATTTTTGTATCAGCCAGAGATAGCCGTCTACCATATGTAAATAATAGAGATTAAATTTCGTCATAAAATTGTGAATAATTAATATTAATCGTAAACGTTAGGATTTTAATATTCCGAAAAAATAATGCATTAATCGGCTTTAACGATTTATTTTATTTAATGTGAGGTTGTAAATGTACTAGGCAAGCATAATTATTAGTTTCACGATGATGAACTTAAAATTTTATTTTTAATTTTCTTATATTTGTAATAACCATTTGAAGTAGTATAAAGAGATCTTTGAACGTGGTTTTTGGCAACAATTCAGACCTTGCTGGAATTTTAAAAAAAGTAAGAGAAACCCAGTATGTTTCAATATACCTACGTATAAGTTGTATAATCAAAAATAACTAAAAAAAAAATATAATGAAGTAGAATACTTACTCATTATTCAATACCAGTTTTTGACTAAATCGAATTTATTATTTTGTAGTGATTTAATAGTGGATAGGTATACTGCATTTTCAAAAAAGTTAAAATTTTTCTAGCTATTTAAGTATAATCATTAAAATGATCAATTTGTATAATTTTTCTGATAATTTGTACTTATTGTAATTATAAAATATCAGAAACATATTTTTATCATTACCTATACATTTTATTATTTTTAATATAAAATTACTTATTATTGTAATTATATATTATATAGTATGCATAATTTTTGTTTTTAAGCATTTGTACAATTTATACAATATTTTCATAACATACAGATTTATTCATTTTTTTAACTTATAGTTTTGATAAGTATCATTAGGATAAGGAAACTTTGAATCAAAAAAAGAATTTTTTCCAAGTAAATTATTTCAGTTTGTTTAATTTGGTTATATCATTATGATGCGTAGTATCCTTTTCCTGTATCCCTTAGCTCAAGCATTGATAAAATTGAAATCCTAAAGGTACCTGTGGCTAATTTTTTTTAAGTCATTAGCTTTGTGATTTATGCTTTCATAAATTTTACAAATAAAAAAATCTAACCATTTTCTATTTAAATAATATTTAATTATAATGACTTACTATACCTATGTTTTTCTATACATAATTGTTTGTGTTATCTCTTACAGATTTACAAACGGAGAAGTACAAATATGGCAGCCTTAACTTCAACTATACATTCAGCTGCACCTCTACCACCCATGTTGTCACAGTCAAATTCTAAACAACGTCGTCAACGACGACAGAACACAAATGGTGGCAGTGAAGGAACCGAGAGTACTAATAAAAAAAATACATGGTTGTGGAATCCTTTTAGACGACGTCGGAGAAGCGTAGTCGGCAATAAGTGTTAACAATGTTGATCGATGTACTTACCATTGATTATCATACAATATGCAGTTGCATGTTAAATAAATACTGTTCGTAATCCGTAAGACATTTTTAGGATAGTATGTTACTATTATGATATAAATAATAAACGCAAAATATATACATTTTCAATTTTTTTTTAATTTTTTTTAAAACTATGTTACCTTAAAATTAAAATTATAATTAAATATTATTACTAAACCCCTACTTGCTTGTAGGGGTTACTTAACAAACAAAATTCGATCGTTACCTTATATTTTAAACATACAATACAAATTTATAATAATAAATTATTTTTAAAACATTCAAATGTCATCACTATTGAAATTCAATTAAATAATGAATGTTAAATATTGCAAAGGTTTTTTAGTAGATTGAAATTTACCAACAGTGATGTCATTGTGAAATGTATATTGATGGTTATAAGTAGATTCGATTACAACAATAGCATGTTTGTTGTGTTGATAATTTTAGGCTCATTCAAATCTTAACACCATTAGTAATAATTTTTTTTAATAAGTATTATACGCAAAGGTTTGTATTATACTCAAATGCATCATTGGTGATAGTAATCTTAAATGCAATTAACGATACAAAAATGGTGAGGTAGATTGAAATGTACTCATAGTATTTTGGTCGCATAAATAATTTTGAGCACCTTGAAGTTATATTTCCATTGGTATAAATATAACATATTAATTAATGAATGTTAAATATCGCAAAGGTTTTTATTATGTTGATAAATTTACCAATGGTGAAAATAATCTTCAAAGTGTTTAATTTTGATTGTTCATATTATAGTTATGTGTATAAACTATTACATTTTTAAGTATATTGTAATACATTAATAGTTTTAGTCACAAACCACTTGAGCATCTTCAAATTGTATCGATATTGGTATTCACATTTTAATTAATTAATTAAATGATTATTAATTAATAAATGTTAAATATTAAAAAAGTTTTTATTATATTAAAATGTACCAATATTGTGATAGTTATTTGAAATGTATAAGGAGGTAATTATAGTATGAACATTTAAAGGTGCATAGAAATATATAAAAAAAAAAATTAGTCATATGAGTAATTTTGAGCATATTAAAAAGATTCATTTACTAAAGATCATTTAATTTTTACTATATTTCAATTCATTATTGTAAAATATAGCAAATGTTTTTATTAAACAGAAGTATACCAATGGTGATAATATCCTTTAATGTTTATTATGATACAAATGTGTTGAGGTAGATTAAGACTGATAGTTATTGTATTATTTGAGTAATTTTGGACATGCTTGATTTCTACTATTAAGAGCTAGAAATTTGATGTACTAAATAAACTAATATATAGCATATGAAAATTTATTAATACCATAAAATATAAAATAATGTATTCAGATTTGATCAGTAGAATATAATTTATAAAATAACAAGAATTATGAAATATAATTCAATTTTTAAAATTTAAATCAAACAATGAAATACTTTTAAAATTAAAAAAATGCCCTTGTAAACCAAAAATTCAAAAAATTCAAAAAAAACATTCAATGATTTGAAATTATGAACTCAGTATATTTACTCTAGGTTCACAAATAAATAAATAAATAAATAAAAATCTATTCAACAGCAAATAAATTATATTTTTACCAAAACAAGCATGTTAGCAATGTGCATTATAATTCGAGCTCTAATTATTACCATTGATAAAAAGTATAAATATTTAAATTGATTAATGAATGTTAAATATTGCAAAGGTTTCTGAATTTGGTACACATGTTGTATGCTATCTACATTAATAAAGTTATCTACATTCATACTATTTCACCAAACTATTAACCATAACAAGAACTTTATAAACCCACATACAAGTGCTCAAACACAAATAATTGAATATTTATGGAATCATGTAACATTAAAATGTTATATAAGATAACGTGAAGCAACAAACCTACTCGAAAGGTAATTACAGGAAAAATGGTGGTATTCTGTCCATCCAACCAATGTGTTTGAAAGTTTTTTAAGATAAATAAAAGGTACATTTGTATAAGAAGATTATAATTTACAACTATAAAATTACAAACTCCAATAAAAATGTTTAGGTAAGTTGAGAATATATTTTTTTTCGTGTAGATAGCATACAACATGTGTACTTTGTATTTTGATAATTGAAAATGATTATGACAAAAATATTTTGATCATATGAGTAATTTTGAGCATATTAACATACTATCATCATTGGTATTCATGTTTTAATTAATTTATGTATGTTGAAATATCCCAAAGGTTTTAATTATATTGAAATATACCAATAGTGATATCCTTCAATAGTACTCAAAAATGTATAATTATTCATTTTATGACTTATCTGATGATGGAGGCTCATGTAGTTCAGTGTTTGTACTAGAAGTATTAGTGGCTGTAGTACAATAATTAGGAGATGCATTAATATTTGTATTACTAGATATAGAAGTAGGGTTTTGAGTAGATGTTGATATTGTAGTAGTGGCAGCTGTAGAAGCATCAGACTCTTGTTTCGGTGTGATATTCATAGTAGTATTGGAGTCATTGGCCTGCAATGTAGTCGATTGTTGTAACTGTTGCTGGCAGTAAAATCTGTTGATATAGAGAAGATTGATTAATAAAAAAGTTATAGTAAAATGTATAAATTAAATGCATATTTTTTAGTAGTTAAAATTATAAAACATTTCGCTTTAGATTAAAACAGACATTGTGTATCCAATACTTTAAATAAACATCACCCATAGATTATGATGTAATATCATTTTAACTGACACCTAAAAATATCCCTGATTTTTTTTTTATCATACACATTACACAGTACAATTTGTTATACAACACAAAATTAGTAATTATTTACTGTCTGAAGTAAAAGAAACTATTAAGCAATTAAAATAAAATATTATCGTTGATTGATAAGTTGAAATAATAATTTTTTATTTATTGATAAATTATAATCATATTATAACTATGAATGGTACTGTGATTAAATTTGAATTATGTTAATAAGTAATTATAATTAAAAAAAAAAAATATCTATACCTGGAGACTAATTGCTGTATTCAGGATAGCTGAAAGACTATAAAAACTTTTTTCTCCTTTATAGAATTAAAGCATATTTAACAGTTTTATTTTCATAACCTACAATTCGTAAAACTATTTTTTTTATGTATTTAGAGGAAATTCAGAAAAAATATGTTGAATTTCTTTAAATGATAATGCTTTATGGAAGTAATACTACTTGTGAAAGTCACAAATGTATGATTATACTTTGTATTTGGTAAAATATATGTTAATGCACAAAATATCCAATAATTATTGATGTTTTTTTAATAATAAATTATTTTCATGTCGTTTTCTGTAAAACTTATAAATAGGTAACAAAATATTGGTAACACATCGACTATAAGTTGAACTTTATTCAAATCTACGCGAAACAATATAGTGGTAATCAAGCTTAAACAAGATTATTATAGTAATGTTGATACAAACCTTTTCTTATCAATACCAGTTAAGTCATCAGCCTGTGATAATAATGATGTTGGATGTGTAAGAGACAACTGTTGTTGTAGCAAAATATGATTGTGGTTATAACGACTGTCATTGTCATCTCCATCATCACCTAGTTCAACATTTTCATTCTGCACATGATTCCCATCCCAGAAAAAGTATTGACCATCATCGTTGTAATCATCATCATCTTCACAAAAACTATCACTAGCATATGGGCACAAACTGTTACTACTCAAGCTACTCTGGCGACGACCTCTGTAACGACTGTTATCATTGCAATCGTTGTAGTCAATCATCGAATTGACATCACTTAATGCAGCTAAATAATAATTACATCAAATTTAAAAAAAATATTGTACAGTAATAATAATAATAATAATAATGATAATTATTATGGCACAAAATTTATGAAATAAATATATGAACTACATGTTAATATATTAATTTAAGTCACAGAAAATTTGCAAACCTTCAGCATCAGTTAACCCAGTGTCATTCATAGTTGATAAGTTGTCATCGAGTTGTCGTGCTGTAGATGCACCAGGTAAACCACCGGTAGTAGCATATGACATATCTGTTTGACGACCAACAGGAGCAGCAGCTTCGTCTGTTGTGTACCCAGTGGTAGTGTATCCATCACCGTCAGTCGTGTAATCGTCACCATCCCCGCCGGTAGTGTATTCTGCTTCAGCAGTCACGATATTGCTGTTGACTTCGTGGTCACTTATATCTACTGCGAAACCAATGCTTTGTGGCCGGTGTTTGTTATCTAATAATGAAGGTTCTAAAGATTCATCGTCGCTCCATGATGACTCTACCGTCAAAGCCATACTTCGTTGTTTACGGCTGTGTGAAATAGCATCAGTCGTAACTGTTGTCGGTCCTCTAACAACAGCAACCACATTGTTCTTATGCTCCTGTAATATCCGTCTCACTTCGGCTTGCTAAAATATTATAATACACATTTTTATAGTACAAACTATAAACATACGATAAATAGAGAATAATTCTCACCTGCCGCTTGACTTGTTCCGTTATTTGTCTTTCGCGTTCCTCAAACAATGATGCTGACGAAACACTTGTTGCAATAACTGTCGTCGAAGCTATAGTAGTCGGAACTTCTATTGCTGTTAACTTCACAATATCCTCCTCGATTTGTTGACTGTTTTTATCATCTTTACCGGGTTTCCGATCCGTAGTCACAACTGTTGCTGCACAAAGACGCAGTTGCTCCGACGAAGACAAGTGTTTAGCAACGTTATCATTGACTTTGCTATTAAAAATAAATAAAATTTATAGATATATTATTTAATCATATACAACAAGGCATAAAAAATAAAAGATATTAAAAGGGTATTCACACAAACAAAACCAATGCCTTTAACAATTATTGTAGAATTAGTTATGTAATGACTGTTAATATAATGTTCTTTAAATCATTTTTTATTGCTGTTTCGCCATACTCCATGACGAAAATATTCTTAAAAACTATGCCGATACGTATATTAAATTTACACAAACATAAAGAATCTTAACCTAATCCAGTGGATAAATAGTGTGGAAACAAATATTGTAATATAATATAACTAAGTAACGCGTCACTATTTATTTATTTCTATAAATTTAAATGAGTACTTACTCTTTGCATTTATTGTAGTCGTCGGAGTGTTTATTGACTTGTACTTTTTCTTCTTTGAATGGACTTCGCTGCTGTTGACGAACGTTTCCACGATGATGGTCCAATAATAATATACGTCGTATCTCATCGGTAAAATCTGGGCCTACCACTCCACCACCTGTCCCTTGGTCTTTGTTTAAAATTTGTCGTCGCTGTTGTTGTTTTTTCCATGGTGATGATGACGGTGACTCATACTTTTCAGTTGATACATTTGAGGTAGTGTTCATAACGCCTATAACATCTAGTTTATCACCAGACGGAGGTGTAGAATTTCCAGCAATTACTAGATTTTGTTGCTGCTGCCGGCGTCGACGACGGCGACTGGAGCTGCTACCAGCGCCTGGAGTAGTATTAGCAGGGCGTACATGGCGGCGGTTCAACGATTGCGTTCCTCCAATGCACGCAGTGGCAGGGTTACCAATGATAGGTGGAGATCGCAATGATGATGAAGACGCTGCAGTGTTGTCGCCAGCTGACAGCGGTGAGCGGAAAGACGATGATCTTCTAACAGGAGATGAATTAGCCGTCGTCGTTGGAGACCACTGATGAAGCAATAAATGCTGCTGTTGTCGGTAACGATGGTGAACGGATGATATGGCCACGGACGAAACAGCAGTGTCTAAATCTTCAGTATCTATTCTATCAATACCACCACCATCTTCTGTAGTCGTACAACCAAAACTGTCGTCTGATGATGAAGTGGTGGTGTTGTAATTGTTATTTGATGTTGTAGTACCACCGGCATCTGTGGAACCAGATGATGACAATGATGATGGCGGAGATGACTCACTAATAAAACTCCCCACACTAATCGGTGAACGGAACGAAGATGATGATGGCCAGGCTGGCGAGACCACACCTGAACACTGGTCATTATTAATATCCTGCCGTTGTTTGGTTATTGTCGGCGGCTGATTGTGTTGACGGCGCCGCCGCCGCCGCGGATCATCACGGTTTCGATGCCGACCAGCTACGGTGTCAGAGGAGCGTGGTGGATCCGGCAAAGGCCGATTAGCATCAAATTTATTAGTTGATACAGATGTTGTATTCTTTAAAAGCAATACGTTTGGACGACGTATTTGTTGGGATTGTAAATGATTATGTAAAGTGGTGTTTAATGTGGTTCCACCAGTAGTATGGTTAGAAGAGGTACATGTTGGTTTGGATTCGGTAGTAATTGGGGTGTGTGATGGCGATAGTTGTCCTGAATCATCGCCGAAAATTCGAACGAGACCATGGGGTGGCACTGACACTGAAATAGACTGTTGACTGTTTTGCTGTTGTTGTTTTTGTAGTGGGCGGGCGTATGTGGCTGCAGTTGATGAGGTCGAGTTGGACGTGCATCGATTTTGTTGATATTGCTCTTGTTTTGGAGCACCTGTTTGTTGCAAGGTAAACAAAAATAAAAGTATAAATTCATATACATATAAAATACACATTCTATTGATTCACACGGATTTCACATCATCATACATTTTTAAAATAAAATATGTCTTTTCTATTTTCAGAATTAAAGTGTATTTGGGCGTATTTAGTTTAGATCCGTGGTTCTTAACTGGTATGTATGCATGTAGTGTAATAACATGACATACTAAAAATAATTATTGACAATTTTCAATTATATTTTAATGTTATTTATAAATAATTTTAGTCTTGATATTTAAATGTGTCGACATTTATTTGGATTTAAATCGTGAAAAGATTGAGAATTGCTGTTTTATATATTATTATAGGAAATATAAAACATAATAGTTTATTAAAATGAAATATTTTTTTACGTTGATTTTTACATTAAATTTTTAGAAGTTAATTGCTGTGCAATCGCAACAAGTTTTAAGGTGCCTATTCAATACTTTAAGACGATTATCAATTACAATTTAATCAAAAATTTTTTGATAATATTTTTGGTTCACTTACTTTGAAATAATTTGAGAAAATAAGATATGAATAAGACAATTTTTTAATATTTCAAACCACTGCGAATGTAGCAAGATTATATCTAGAATTTACCTCGTGATCTTTGTTGTATATCTGGATATCGATCGCATTCTTCACTGTATTTATGTTGCATTGGACATTGGGTTCGCCGTGTTGTAACTGGTGGTGGACTTCGTGGTGGTGGTGGCGGTGGTGTTTTTTGCAGTTCCAAACATTTTTGCCGTAACTCCGGTTGTACCATAGAATTGTAGTGGGAATGTTTCGAGTGGATGTTGCCAATTGATACTTTATTAAATGGTGGTTGATGACGCGGTAAGTGCCGAGGTGTAGAGCGATGGATGTGCTGAGACTGTTTAATGGGAGCAGGTTTTTTGTTTAGTTGATGTGATTGTTCTGATTCATATTGATAGAGAGAGTTTTGACGAAGCTGTGCATCATGGTAGTTAGAGAGTTTTTGTTGACCTAAGTTATGACCATCATCTTGTTCAAAACTTTCACGAACCAAATACGTTTTTCTTATTTTGTATTTGTTTATAATATTGGTATGTATATCAAACTTGTACTTCGAGCATTCTATATTACTCATTACGTCGTAAACGCAATTAGTAACTTGTGTTTTACCTGGTATACCAGTGATGTCCATCTGTCTAGCTACGTTTACTGTATTACCCCATATGTCGAACTGCGGACGTTTCCAAATTCCATCATTGCAGCCGATTAAACCAGCTACAGCGGGTCCAATATCAACTCCTGTAAACATAATCGGACAATTTTATTATTCATAAATGATTTGATATCATGATACACATTAATGCTGTAACTTAAAATAATAAGATAAGTGTAAGATATATATATTTTTTTTAGATAATATTGTATTTATGTTTACAATGTAGTATAGCGAGTAAAATAAATGATGCAATATTATATTTTAATATTTTAAAATATTTAATTATTATACTAGTACTTCTGCAAAAAATTTATATTTAAAACTACACATAATAAGTAATGAGATATTTGAAAAACAACTAAAAATTACTGTTTTCATTGTCATAACTTATAAGAATACAAGGTATTTGAAAAGTACAATTGAAAACAGTGACAATTAAATTCTAGTGGATTGATAATTAACATTATCTATAATGAGATAAATATACCTCTTACCAATCAAATACATAGTATGATTGATATGTTTAAATTAATATTACAACTCATGGAAAAGAGACATAAACACACAAATAAAAAATTAAATTAACAATTATAAAATAATGCATATAAGATATTATTTAGGATTTAAGTAATTAAATATTTTATTTTAACCAATGAGAATTGGGTTTTGTTATTTTTTAAGTTTATCAATGCAATAATTACTTAATATTTAAAACTACATACTGAAAATATAAATAATAATAATAATATAGTTGATATATGTTTATAGGTATTAAATAACAAAATACAAACTTAAGAACCATTATTAGACATATTGGAAGAGTTTAAATATTTTGAAAAAAATGAATCAATTAAAACATAAAAATGGAAATTATTGAAAAGTAAATAGTTATTTATGTAAATATAGAAAACCCTGGTATACATACATTACAATAATGATACACATTTTAGATATTAAAAAATATTTTTTCCCTTGCTTATTGTGAAGGTATTATAAAATATATATTATTAGACTAAAATATGATTATCTGTGAAACTTTACTTAAAAATGTTATATGAGTACCAATTATTATGATGCACCATTTAAATCAAAAGTACAACATATTAAGCTCAAAATAATTGTAAAAGATAATATTGAGTTTAACACTAGGAATTTTTAACTTGATTATATTTATAAAATTAATAGTAATTTACTAAAATAATTTTTAAAATTCCTAGTATTTTTCATTTATTTTTAAATTATATTTTGGTATTGAGCATTTTTGATATTATAAACTAACCAACTCGAAGAACAAATTGTGAGTTTCCATTAATAGTTGGCGTTGTCGTTTGTCTACGATGCAGTATGTGGTGCATTTCTTGAATAAAATCCAAAGCAAATGTTACATTATTTGCTGATATGACATTATATAATTCGATTTTATCTTCTGAACTAACACTAGCATTTTCAACGTCATTTTTTCTTTCTTGGTGATCAAAGTTGCAAGATTCATCACGTTTCTGTTTTGTATCATTCAGCAGCATGACTTGTCGACGCTTTGTTCCATCATGATGTTGTAAGCCAACAGCTGCCATATATGTGTTAGTTCCCAACATTTTTATTTTTTCTACTAATCCTCGATACTTCTGATTATCAATAAGCTGTTGACATAAAAATAAATTAATTTTTGACTTAAAAATTATTTTTAGCTCATAAAAATTACTCTATCAAACTCGCTGAATATGTTGTAAAGTAGTGCTAGCTGTGCATGGCAGAGATGACCGCTAGTATCACTGTTTACATTAATATTGTTTGGCATTGATTGTTCTTGTTGTAAAATTGTAGCGAATATGACAACAATTGCTCGATAACTACAATGATAAAGCGGTTGTGACAAGTTTGCAGGAATATGTTCTTGAATTTGAGGCTGAAAACATACAATTTTATAAAATTGTTACTTTAAGTGTTTAAGTACTGAATTATACGAAGAATAAAGCATAGTTTAGGATACATACAGTGGTTCTAATCGGTATTGATCTATTTTCTCCGAAAACGTAGTTCTGTTGACGCCGAGTTCCTTCAAATTCGTCATCAGCATCATTAGGATCATTAATGCATCTTTTTCGCAATAAATTTGTTACATGATCAGGTATAACGGCATGCAAAGTACGGCGGTGTGCTTCGCGTAACACACACAATCGTCTCACGTTACGATCCACCTATAAAAACAATAAGCAGAAGTCAACAACCTAAATTAATTAAATATTTAGGTAACTAATTAGTATAAAATATTTAAAGACGTTTGCTAATATTAACCTTAACCCTGTGGTGTGCTCGTCGATCTTGTAAACGATGCTTGTACACGAAACAGGCAAGTGTGGCCATGGCGAATGTAATTGCGTATACCGTAGCCATGGCAGTGTTTAAACCAGTCACTTTTTGCTGTTCTCTATCTCGTAGTTTTAATCTATATGCATAGGATTAATGAATAAATATTGTTAATAACGATATATCAGAAGTAAGGAATAAACACAATAATAATTAATAAGTGGAATCGTTAGTGTTGATGAAATACATTTCGACTACTTGAAAATTCAGAATAGTTTGTCAGAAAAATAAAATATCTTGTATGATAAGTCAATGATACAACTAATTAGACAGTTTAAACTGAACTATTGCATGGTGGTAGATATTTAAATATAATTTTATTAAATAATAATGCTTACAACTGTTGGTTTTCCTGGTAGCTATCACTATAGCCGAGGGCATTAATTATTTCATGATGGTCATTATTATTTTTGGTGACAGTGTTATTTGTTCGATGATCTTGTGACACGATAGAACGACTAAACAACGATTGTGTCGGTGATGACATCGAGGCGGCCATAAATACATGTTTATGCGTAAAGTGAACAAAAGCCACAGAAAATACGCAAGTCATAACAAACAATATTATAATTTTCATCCGCAGTGTTGGCAGCGAACCATAATAGATGGGAAACGCAATAGCTATTGATGTGAACACTAAACAGCATGTAAGTACAGCGTATTGAGGCCACATACACGTCAGCGGGCTTCGATATTGTTGTGTTAAGTTAACTTTGGGGGTATTAAATCCACCACTTCCATTCATGATAATGTTTTGAGTATGAAGTTGATTGTATACAAGTTTTGTTTCAACTGGTTCACAAGTAAACTAAAAAAATTTGAAAATAAGCATATACTAAAAAACATTATCAAAACAGAATTGGATACGAAAATTCTAATGTTATGTGTGCATATTGTATAAATATAATGTAAAAGTATGTACACAAAAATAGTACACAAATGGGTTAAGTAGTAATCATAATAACACTTACAGCGTTTAATAAAGCCAAAAGACAAATGAGTAATATAACGATCAGCTCGCAGCAGGCACATATCCAATAAAAGTAGGTACGCCTTTCTTCATCTTGATATATTCTTTTCAGTTGTCTATGTCGCCGACGTAATAGATTGTTATTGTAGCTGTTATTAATATTAATAGGTTGTGAATGTTGAAACCGATTTTGCTGCTGTAATGATGATGCCCTTGCTGTTGCTGCCATTATGGCATTTTCATTTCGATAGCCGGGTCTACTTTCAACATCGCTGTCGTCAGATGATATGCATGACGATGCGCCTTCATTATTTGAACAACAAGTGAACCAGCTACGGATTCCATAACAACGACACCATTTGAAAGAACACTTGCGCCAACCATCACTATTATCTAAATGGTTACGAGTGGTCATCACAGTATCTGTCCTGCATTGAAATGGTTTTAATAGCCATGCAAACAATGAATATCTGCTAGCATGGCAAACGAAAAACCGCTTAAAGCATTTATCATCACTGTTACTACTGCTACTAGCATCACTATCATTGTTATCACTATCATAGTGATGATAATATTCATCATCATCAGCAATAATGGCGGTGGCATAAGTAGTGCTGTAAAACTTGGGACGAGGAATCCAACCGATCAACAAGGCCATCACATAAATCAGTTCTCCCTATATATACACAAATCATATTATTTATTACACACTTACAATATTAATAACGTAACCAATATTATTTAACTTTTTGATTAATTTAAATTTAAAAAAAAACTTACAGCAGTTATAACAAACGGTGTAATAAATGTGATACAAAGTAGCATAGTCCATGGCATAGTTGTTACGTTAACCACAAATAAGGTAATAATTACACATAGAAGCAGTAACTCTGATTTGGCCAATCGAAAAAGATCATCGTCGTTGAATTTATTTTTAACTTTATCGTAATCATCTTTGTTACTAACTACAAATACGTCATTTTCCCATCGGCCGTAACGATCCTAAAAATAATAGATATTAGATACACGTGTATATTATTTTAATTAAATGAAATAGAAAGGTAATAAAGATGGGCAAGTGGGTACAGTTCTGCTGTACATTGAATATAGAAAAAGACACTGTATGGATGTGTTTAAACGAGTTCAATTATATATATTATTGTATACGAAAAATGATTCTGGGCGGAGCCAATCTGTCAGTATATATATCACTAAGTTTGTTTCACGAATTTTTTTTTTGATAAAGCTATTAGAGTAATTTATTTTACTATTAATATTACCATAGGTTGAATTAAACGGAAGTATTGCATTCATTATATTATTATCAACAACACATCATTGTAAAATCAATATATTTATATATATCTAGCTCTGTTCAGAATTTAATGGATAATGTACACTGAAATGAGATTAGCCGTGGACTGTGTGTACGGCATATTCGTAGTATCCAACAAACACAAACTTATAAAGCATTTTCTAACCCACTATTATACCGTCTCATTATTAAATATTAAATGATAAATACCATTGATGAATTGATTGCAGATGTTGTATTCAAATTTGTAGAAACAGCTTGTGAATCTTGTTCAAAGTATTTACTCCGCCTATGGCGATTTCTTTTTATTAACGAGGCTATAGGAACCAAAGCAGCTAACATCACTGGAATTTCTGTAGCCGATGTTGACGAATTGGTAGGTTGTTGTTCTGACTCCATCTCGGGATATTTTTGACGCATTTCCTCTCTGAGCAGTAGTTGCTCTATTGATTGGAGAATTAGTGGAACAATTACCTCTCTACTGACATCATATATACTATTATCGTCCATTAAATTTTCTTTCTTTTCTGGATGAGAATACTGTAAAATAAAATCATTAATAGAAAAGTTAATTTCGAAAACTATAGTGTTCGCATATGTAACTTACTGCAGTTTTAGGTTTGACGTAATATGTTTCGATTCGATTGTCGCATAGAAAATGATTCCTTTGTTCTTCATAACTACGTTCAAACGTGTAGTCGTTAGTATCGCCCTGATAGTTGATTGTGTTGTTACGAAGATTGACTCCCGATGGCAGAGGATCTACTCTATTCACTGCAGTATTAACAACTCCTTTCTTAGTAACCTGATTGACCGTGGCATGACTTACATGCACCAATCCGGGACTACCACTATTTTCAACATACGACGCTACTTGTACATCTCGGCCCCATGCACTATACTGCCAACGGCTACCAGAATCGGATCGAATGCTAGCATTTCCGGTGAAACCAAGCACTCCACATGCTACCCGGCCCGAATGAACGCCCACTCGAACATTAAGATTGATTTTGGGTATGTTGTGGCACCGACTTACATCACGAACCACAGTACTGTTTTATAGAATTAAGATATCATGATTACAAAACGCATTGTTGTATACAGTATAATATACGAGAAAAAATATGCAGTTGGCAATACGTGTAGATAAATTTAGCTGGTTAAATATTAAGAATTAATAATTGTTTTAAATCGACGAGTCTATACACTTTTATGGATATTCAATGAATAATAATGTATTAATGAATTTTCGAACGGAATGATATAACAAGTATGAAAACGTACAAAGTATAGTAGCGTGTTATATTCATGTCAGGCATACGGATAATTTACTATAATTTACATTATTTATTTATATATATATAAGTCGATTTTAATATATGAATCAATTGTACACGTTAATATGAAATTTATTTAATTAAATACAATTTTTTTATTGCGAAGTTAATGCTTAACTGAAAGTATGATTTTTCCATATCAGAAAAACTAAATACAGCATAATGGTTGTATCAATGGGGTAACATGAGAAATAAAAATCATATTCAATTAGTTGTAAACTACTTACTTAACAGCTTCGATTAGATCTAATCCCATTTGGATGGCATTTCTGGCATGTCCATTGTCATTAATCAACCAACTAGCATTTTTCTGTTCATCATCGTCATATCTAAAGCTCTCTTCATCCGGTAATCCGGCAATGAAATACATACGGTGGCCGAGTAGCCGTATTGGGAGACAACGATTGCGATATGCCAGTTTACGAAATAAATTTGCTAGCAGTTGATCAATAAGTGTAATGAGCTCGGTGGATATTTGGGAACCAGAATTATTATTGCTCACAATTAGTGGCGCGTTGTCCCAAAATCCAGTGACATTAGCAAACACAACACTAACATTTTCGTATTCCTTTAAAAACATTTTCGGCATAAAATTAGTTCTTTGTAGTATTTCTTGCTGATGACTCTGTAATTGCGCATTATCTTGTTGGCTAATTGTATTAAGGGAATGTGCAGCATCAGCAACTATGTTGTATTTCATTTCCAAAAATATGCGTCTGGGTAACAAGGATGTTAGAAGTTGATTCTGTTTATTAAATAAATCATATTAAGTATTAGTATAATTTTAATATTGATACTAAGTTACTAGAAATAGTATATAAATAGTTTTAAATATTCTAACAGTTTAAAGTAAAATTGCGACGAATCAAAGTCAGAATTGAAAGAGAAAATATTTATTTAATGATATTTATATTTAATGGTTAACTATTAATTGATCAAGACGTTGTCACAATTTTACTTTCTGAAAATTTTACACGAAGTACTTTATTGTAAATTGGTAACTTGATAAAAATTGAATATCAGATATGAATATAATTTTAGAAGTTTTTAATACTCAGCATAAATATATATTATACGTACATACGGTAAATACATTGTCAAGTAATAAAGTACTATATAAGTTTAAACAAGCACAAACTAATCCACTAGGGACAGACTTTAATGGTTGGGAACCGTTTATAAGCACATTTTGAAAATATAACCTGAAGTTATTCAATTGGCAGGCGTTTGCACAACCATATACAAAAACTGTTAAAAAATTGAATAAATGAAAAAACATGAAATAAACATAAATCAAGTGAAATTTCAGTCATTTAAAAAAATTAAAATAATTGATCTTTAATTTTAACCAACTTTTTTTATATAATACATCGTTATTTTTATTTTTTCAACAAATTGAGTACATTACTTTTTACACAATTTGAATAAATTATATGTTTTAAATTTGTTTTTTTTATTAGCTACAGTAGTAACTATTATTCATGTATAAATAATATTAGACAGAATATTTCCGGACGTACGATCGTTTCAATGAGTATACCAACGGTTAATCAGTGTTTAGTATTAGTAATTTTGTGCACCAACAGAAATTTTCTAAAAAGGTATGTATCATTTAACATACGTAAACATTTCATGACCTAATCAAAACCTGTGTGCATAAGAATACTCAAATAAAATATGCTAAGTTTTGAAGAAACGATAAGGTATTATTTTTACGCACATAAAATAATGAAATATTATCAGTTCGTTAAACACATTTAAGTTTTTTTAAAAAAAAACTCAGTTAAAAATAGTATACATTTTTTTTAGGAATTATAAGACTAGAAATTAACTGTATTACTTGTAATTTCAACAGTATTAAAATGTTCTTACCAGCTTATTAGCCTGCCGACGCAATGCTAGTCGAAAATATTCGTGTTTCCCACTAAATATGTTGTTGCCTTCGTGACTTCTAATTTCAGTACGGTCTTCGATTATTGATTGACGTAATAGCCATCCAGCTAGATTGACGCATGCAAGAACTACTACATTAGCTGTAAGCTATTTTTTATAAACAAAAAATAATTAAAATCCACGTTTAAACAAAAAAGAATATTCTTTAAATTATAAGCACCTGTTGAATGGCTGCCATGGATGAATTATTGACTAGACGCTGATGTTGTTGGTAAGCAATATACATACTAAGGATTGTGTGTCCGATAGAAGTTACGATAGCAAACAGCAAAACGGCGATTGAAATAGAGGGGTCCTCTTTGAAATTATCTTTTATATTTTTTTTGTTATCGTTATGCTCGTTAATAATTTCACTAAGCTCTTTTCTTGACTGTTCATCTATACTCGTAGGAAAAACCAAACAGTACGAAACGAATATGAAAAATGACATTTGCCATAAGCCTTCGTAAAGTGCTAATTGATTTTCATAAATATCTTCTGAATTATAATAGTTAAGTTGTAGTAACAACTGCTTTCGTCTTTCAGCAGAGTTTTCCGAGGAATCTTCAGTCATTTTATTCATACCTTTATCTCCGAAGACTTCAGCTAGTGGTACAGATGGTAAAAGTGCAGTAATAAATAGTACGATTAACATGTAGCAACACCACCGTTGTCGTTTTTGCCACTGATACCAGATATAACTAATGATGACTGCGCAAAAAGCTTGCCCAGAAAAATACCACATCGGCTGTAGACGACATAACCATTTAAATATATTGCTGTTATCGATTCCTCTTAACCATATCCATCCACTACCATATTTTATGTCATATATATAATACACTGCAGCCATAGCAGCTGAATATATAATATGCAATATAAAAGCCCACACAATCGGTGATGTTGGTAATGCTGATCGTTTTTTATAATTTTGTTGATATTGAGACTTGTGTCGCCGTTGTCGTAATGGTTGTTTTTCCCAGTCATCTGGTGACTGATAACGGTTGTGCAATTCAAAAAGAACAGATGATGTCGGCTGTGGACGCTGCATTTCTTCTCCGCCGTACCAAAGGAGGTTGAGGCTGTGTTCTTGTTGTTGCTGCTGATCTCGTCTTCTCTGATCTTCAGTTATGTGATTTGTGGCAGAAGTTCGATAATTTTGATTATTATTAATTGATGTAAATATAGTTGGAAACACCACGGCGTTAGAATTGTGCCTGTTGGGCTGAAGACCATGTCGCCAAGATCTTGTGGCAGCTGTCATCAATCCATTAAAAAGGCTACGACGGCCAGTAACCTCAGTTCCAAGGGAATTCATAACCCCAGTATTTTGGTTTTTGCTGTTTGACTTTCATATGGAATCAATGTTCAATTACATAGATTAAATGTACGGTGGCGATATTATATTGGATCAATATTCGTAAAATTATTAAAACAAGTAATATCTGATGAACAGTTTCTTGAGAAAGTGGTAAGTTAATCACAGTAATAAGAAAGTGTTTAATCAATATTAGCAAATATACTGTATTGGTGATAGAGGTTAATTGCTGTCATTTTAGTAACAGCAATACTTGAAATTTCCAATTTTTTTTCCAATTCCAGTCACTGACAAATCCTGATATCGATATATATTATTTTAGACAAAGTGGTTGCAGAGAGAGTATTACGTCACTTGTTGTCATCAGTGTCAGAAGAAGTGATAGTAACAAGGAAAATATGGATACCGTGATGAGAGAGCAGTGTAGTCGATAATCAGGCAGCATATACTTATTCACTTCATGCGTCACACCTTAAATCAACAAATACATTTTATATATTTGTTAATAAAATCAATGAATCAAAAAAAAAAAAAAAAAAAAAAAATGTTACAATTTAAAAAAACTTGAAGTAGTTAAATTATTTAGTAGTTTTAGTAAAAATTATTAAGTGAACAAAATTCACTAAAAAATACATTTCAAAATTTTCTAAACAAATTGCCTTTGAAAAAGTACTTAGCATACATGCTCCAAAGTAAATAATGTATAATATTCTGATACTATCTAAACTATGATTAATTATACTTTTTATAATAAAATATCTAACAAAGTATATGAAAACCAATATAACTCGGCTGTGTCCCCCAAAAATAAAATAATATACCTACTACTATTGATTATAAATAGTACAATTTAAAATTAGTGATACTAGGTACTTCAATAAAAAGGGCAATAATAAGTTGCGATAACGAATTTAATAAAAATCTAGAAATCTAGATTAATCATTTTAGAAGTTAACAGAAATTAATATTTTTAAAGAAATAAACAATACTATAATTCTAAAAGGTTAAATCATTTATATTTGCTTTAAATTAGGTTTTTAGGCGGGACAGTCTGTCAACATAAATTTCAAAAAACATTTTGTATTACTATTAGTAATTTATATAACAATTTTGCATAAGAATTACGGTAGAAATTAATTAATATTTATAAAAAATAAATCACGTATTATAATAGGTAATGATTATAAAAATATTTAATATAACTTATAACTATAGCCAACTTATTTAATACCGACGTACCATGTAACAATGTAAATAAGTTTATGGTATAAATATAGCTTGATACTTTCAAAATGTTATCATTAATAGTAAATGCAATACAGAGGAAAGTTTCGAGTTCTTAAGAAAAATTTATTTTGAATTAAAATATTGTTTTAATAACAAATTTGTTATAAAACGAAAATTGTTCAATTTTATTTAAAAATCCATTTTTTTTTTTTTTTTAATTGTTTAAAATTATTTTAGTTATTTTTTGGTTGGTGTGGGTAAAATTACAAGGAACATACTTTATCAAACTTTTAAACAGAGAATATAATGTTCAGATATAAAATACAAAACCAAAGATCTATTATTTTTTATATTTATTAAAATAAAACATTACTTAATTATATAAACAAACATAATATTATTATCCATAATGAATAAAAAATTATTTTAACAGTATTAATCAAGAGTTAAAAACAAACAAAAAAAAAGTAGGTTTGTAGGTATCACTCTTCTGTACATTAAGTCTGGAGTGAATCACTATTATGGGTGAGTTAAATTTTAATCCAATAATATATTATTCTTTACAAAAAACGATTCTGAGCGGAGATTCAGTTTTTTCTTTTCAAACAGCGACTTTCATTCGTTTTTTAAGATATGATTGTGAGTCTTTAGGATTTTTTTATACTTTAATATTTGTTAACGCATTAAATTTATACTTACATTGATAAGACGTTGAAAATTAAAAGAAAATGTTTTTTTTTTTTTTTCAATAAATACATATGAACAAGACTGTCCCGAGTGATTCATTCAACATAGAGTCGAACCTATTAGCTATTGATTTGAAATTTTGAGGGTAGATTAATACTATAATTTCACCAAGCACTAAGAAAGAATTTTTTTAAATTTTGATCTAAAGAGGTTGAAAAGGGGTTAAAATGTTCGTGCAAATTTTATAAATCGATAGGTAATAGCGCTTTTAAGCTGTAAACCTCTATTTCACATTTTTAGGCTCTGTTACGTGAACAATTTTATGCGGTATGCTACACAATCAGTACGCTCACAAGTATAATAATTTGGGCACCAAATGGAAATACATCAAATGTAGTTTATAGAGAAATTTTATAATAAATTTGTTGTCATAAATTATATACATTATATATAATTACATAAATATTATACACCTATTAATATTTAATGCGCAAAGCCGCGATGGGTAACCCGATAGTATATTATAATATATTTTTCGATAATAAATATAATAATATACAAGCCGTATAATAATAAAATTCATATTATACGTAAAAGTCCTAAGTTTTTAGGAATATTGTTCCTGTGAATTACAACCAAATAATTAATATCGTTATTTATCGTTAAACTATGAATTTCGTTAAAATTTACAAAACTACAAACATCAATAAAAAAAAACAATTGTGTTTGTAAATTTTTAGTTCTAGTACGAACTAATTATGAGGAACTTCGTATTAAATTTTTATATTTTAGTCATGGCAATTGAAAATTTTAAACTACTTATTTTTAGTTTTTAAACGTCCGTGATTTTAACAAATTTATTAAAAATTTTAACTTCTAATGAATACAAAAAATTGTGTCAACTTTTTTCTAATTTTTATGAAACTAGAACTAGAACTGTTAATGTGGGTTTTTGAGTTAAGTTTTTAAGAATTATTATGATCTAATAAATAATTTTTATCGGCATAAAATTTAACGACAATTAAATAATTAAAAATTTCTCAAAAAGTGTCAAAATATTTTTAAGATTATACGTTGTGTTGGGAATGCTAACAAAAGAATTGGTAAAAATTGCAAGCATTTACAATTATTTGGTTTTGAATAACAAATAAAAAAAACAATAAAGTTTTCGACGAGAAATTGTTATTATATAGGTGATTGTTAACCAAATATCAAATTTGTCCAACAAAAATTAATTTTATTTTCTGGAAAACATTTTTTTTAAACATAAGTCGCAAAACGTATAAAACCTCATGATAAATTCTCAAATCTTAGATACAAACAGAAATTTTTTAAAGATTTTATTCAAAACATAGGGTAATTTTCAAGATTTTGATGAATTTTGTTAAAACTCTACAGTTTAGTTCTAATAGGTACTTAGAATATATATTTTCAGTATTTTTTAATTGGAAAATAAATAAATCACTAAGAACTTTGTATTGTACATATTTTTTCAAGTATTTTTCCCAAATCATAAATTTTAACAGTAATTTATAAAAAAAAAAAAAAAAATTAAAAATTGAAAATTTTAGCTGTCTATTAATTAATAGCTCAAAAAACCAAAATATTTGAAAATTATACCATAAATATAAATTAATAACATCAAGTATTTGGTAGAATCTACAAAATTTTAATTTTTTACGGTTATTAAATTTTCAATCACGACAAAAAACTTATTTAGTAAAAAATATCCGTTTTAAATTTTTTGTTTTTTCCTGATAATTTTGAAAATTCTTATATCTTTAATTATTTTATAAATATTTTCAAACTTTTATAATTAGAATTTTCTAAATAAATTCTGAGCGGACTATGATATGTTTTAATTTTTATTATAAACTAATAAAAATAAATAAAAATGCCAATGGCCTATTAGAATTACAGATTAAATGGTTTGATAATATTTTAGAAATTAAAAATATAGTTTATAAAATAACAAAAGAATATAATACCTATATATAATGCATAGATAAGTATATCTGCTTGTGTGATTTTGAGCATCATAATAATCGATAATTTAATAGTATTATGAAGTGATCAAATGTATTCTCAATAAGTTATTTTATATTTGGTGCAGACAGATACATACAAATATATATGGGTGAATAGCCTATATAAGGAGTTATTAACTATAATTGTTATTTTTATACTCACAATAACTAATAATAACGGCACCGCACACAGGGACTGATGCTCGCTCGTACTTACCGCAGACTGAAAAGTAAAAACATTGTTGAAATGTAACGTAGTCACTTGTGTTTTATTTTATTTGTTTGCGTTAAATGAGAATACTATTTAATAGACGAAATCAGAGAAACTAATGATATTATGAAAAAAAACCAAATAATGTAAAAAGAAAGTAAAACTATAGGTAAGTTTTTAGTATAGGTAGTACATCTAAACATATTTTTTATGTACATAAGCGTGTGTAGAACCCAAAAGTAAGTAGTACCTTTAGGTATCGGCCTTTATATCAGTGGCGTAGCTAGACACTTTTTTCTGGGTAGGCCCGATATTTTGATGTAAGGATTACTAATGAATATTTTTATAAAATAAAAAAGTATCAGAATATCGTTATACATTTATTATAGGCATGATACATGGATTTATTTTATGTTTTAAAACTAATAGTATAAAATTAAATCAATAAAAAAGATATAGCTATATTAAAATATTTTTAGATTGAAAATTCCAATTTTCTTTTTTTCATTGATGCAAACTCGTCAATTACAGCAGATGGATTTTCTATAAAATTTCCACTTATTTCTCTCTCAATTGACAGCAAAGTTAAATTATTTAGTCTGCTACTTGTCATCGTTGATCTTAAATATGTTTTTACTCTTTTCATCGTCGAGAAACTCCTTTCTGCTGAGGCACTAGATACTGGAACTACCAAAAGATTTTCAATAATTTTTGTTAATTCTTCAAATCCAACTTTGTATTTTTTCACTTCTTGGTATAATTCAAAAAAATCAGATACAGATAAAAATAAGGTTTTTCCCAGTTGACATTGGCATTTTAATTTAGTTATAAATTCATTTGATCGATAAAATGGAAATGTTTCAGCATAACGACAAATTATTTCACTGTCTAAAAATGTTGATGAATTTTGGTCTAAAGCTTCTAAAGTTACATACATATTATCATCATTTATATTAAAACGTCGGTTTAGTTCGAAATATATTACGTCTAAAATATTAAAAAATATTCTTTTTTGTTCTGTTTTCATGTCATCAGATAAATAAGCTATTCTTTTACCAGTGCTAATAGTTACATAATAATCGACTAAAGTATTTGAATTTCGTCGTGTTCTATTTGATGATGACAAATTATCACTTGATGGCGTAGGTATTTTAGAATTTTGAGCAATAACCAATGATTGCTCATATAATTCAAAAAACTTCTCATCATTACGTAACTCTAATATTTGTTGTTTTGTTGCATTAATTAATAATGTACAACGTTTTATATCAAGAGTAGTTGATTGCAGGTTAATCGATAAGCAATTTATGATATTTAATATTTCGTTTAAGCACACAATTATTATGATAACTTCAAACTTAGCAAACTGTATGGCCAAACCTTTTGCCTCTGCAGCTTCTTGTTTTTTAGTACTTCCTCTAAATGCATTAAGAACTTTTAAAATATCATTAAAATGATTTTTAAAAAATTTAATATCCTTGTGTTTTGAAACCCACCTTGTTTCACAATGTTGTGGTACTTTATACTTGGTTTCTTTTAAAAAAGCATGATGGCGAATTGTAGATACCGATTGGAATGCATAAATAGCTTCTAATAAACCAAGTATTTCATCTACTTCTTGAATATTTTTCGTTACATCAACTAGCACTAGGTTTAACCTATGAGCATGACAATGAATATACGGACACGGATTTTGCGCTAATTCCCTTATTTTTGTTTGAACACTAGAAAAAGCTCCGGACATTACTGACGCGCCATCATATGATTGACTTACACAATTTGAAATATCCAAACCAACATTATTTAAAAAAAATATTATGCCATCACACAGTGCTTGAGCATTTAATTCGTTCAATTCGACAAAACCTAAAAATCTTTCTTTAATTTTTAAATTGTGCAAATATCGAATACAAATACTCATTTGTTCAGTTTTTGACTGATCTCTAGCCTCATCTACAATTAAACTAAATATCTGGCTTCCAATATGAACTTCATTTATTATTAATTGTAATACAAGCTTTGATGTAGCTTTTATTATATCGTTTTGTATTTCAGGCGATATGTATTTGCTATTTTTAGGTAATAAATTAAAGTTTGTTTTAAAATGTTCATTTTCGATGGAAAGTAATTTTATAATTTCTAAAAAGTTACCTTCATTTACGTCATGACGTGAACACAAACTTGCATCATAATTTTCACTATTGAATTCTTCTTTTCTTTCTTTTCGATGTTCTCGTAGTCCGATATCTTGCCGTGCACAATATAAAACACACCTTATTACACTTGTTAAAATAGTTCGATTTTTTATAACTTGCTCTTTGACTTGTTTATTTATTTATTTGAGTCGAAACTGATCCAGTTTTTTTGGTTGATAGCCATGCACCATATTTAGCTATTGCATTTTTATGTGAAGTAGTATTCTCATGTTTTTTAGTCATGTTACATATATTTTTCCAATCAGAATATCCACCAGTAATTAGAACATCTTTTTCAATTTGCGAATGAGAAGGAAAATGACGGCAATAATAACAAAATACGGCATTCATCTTAATTGAATATTCCAACCATGGGTACTTATTGTACCAACTACTTTGAAAGCTACGTTGCTTACCAGATATAAAAGTACGAGGAAAACTGATGACAGGTTGTACAGCGGTATCTTCACAAGTTACACTAATATCAAAAATGTTTAAATTCAACTGTTTATTTGTATCTGATATTGGTGTACGTGCACTTGATCCAGGGTCATTAGGCTCAAAAACCGAAACAGTTGAAACAGAAGTTGATTTTAAATTACCTGATGTAATTAAAAAACGTTTCATTTTTCGAAAATGAGCGACGCAAGACGCAACGGACTAAGTAAAAATAAAAGCGAAATATAATCACTTCGTTATAGGTACTAAAGACGTTCGTTCGTAGTGACGCAGTGCGATTAGTATTAAACTAATCGAAAATCGCAAGCGTATATTCTATTCGACTACAACTTATATTACAGTCTCGTTATTTTTGGAAATAATCGTCAATTGAATGGATAAGATTAATATCTATCATACTGGTTATTATAGTTGAGAATATTCAGGTAACGGGCAATACGGGCTGTCAGGCTATAATATTATATTATCACGGGCTTTGATGCACTATAAATTTCGACGGATGCCGATTAACAGGAATTGATTGGTCATTAAACGACAACACTCAAAATAAAAGACGTGTCATTAACTGATTTTCAGAACCGATTAAATTCACCATCGGGATTTAATTTTGTAAATTAAAACCCTTTTTACAATATATTAATTCTATTATTTTAAATACATATTATAGTCATAAACATATTATACACTACACGTTTAATAGGATAAAAAATTTTTTTTTTTTTGGAAAAAAGTGGGTAGGCCCGGGCCTACCAGGCCTACCCGCTGGCTACGCCACTGCTTTATATTAAAACAATTAATATTAAAAAAAAAAAAAATACAAGTTGCACACTACCATACATTATTTCTGAGAGGGTAGTCATGGCGGATTAATATTCAAGTTAAAATCAAATCAAAAAGGAAAAATAAATGAATAATATTATTGATAATACATGATCACGAGTTTCACTTTGTAAATTGCAAATTTAATAATTCGTTTCTCAGTATACTATTACAATTAACTCATAATAATTTTTAGTAAATAATACTAGTCACTACACGTCTACAAGTTCAACTATATACAGACTTTCAATAATAGAGTGTACCACGGTGAAGTGTCCTAATTTTTCAAATTTGTTTTAAAAATATAATCTAAAATTGATTTTAATAATCAAGGTATATTTATTGCAATTAATATTTATATATGGGCAATTTGATTAAGACATTGGGCACTTTGGCTCTTGAAAATCACAAGGCGTGCCTAAGCACACCCTACACGCACACCTGTGTATATGTATAATGTGTATATTTATAACTGTATTAAATATTGAACATATTTTTTTAAATAATAAAGGTTTTTTTCATCATTATTATATTTTCTACATACTAATGATTAAATTATTTTTTTCTCTGTTAATTTTGCTGAAAAATATTCTCGGCCTGAAATATTGACCTAGTCCGCTCTTGATATACATAAACAATAAGTAGTCGAAAAGTGGCTCGATCTTCAACTTTGAGGACTATTTTGGATAGCACATTTCATTTATTTTTATTATAGAAAAGTTAAAATCTCAAGTATTTTTTAAAATAACTGATAAAATAATTTAAGGAAAACAGTCATTTTTACGTAAATGCTGTTTTTATTAAAATAGATTTTGTTTTAAAGGTGTAAACAGAAAAACAATAATTGTAGATATTTTAAATTTTCACTAAAAGTTTATATGATCATTTTCTATACACAACCTATTTTTATTCTTTTTTAGTTATTTATAGAACATAAGATCACTTTTTTCAAATGTTCTCAAAAACTTATTTGCTGAAAGAAAATTGTAATATCTCAAAAATATTCATATTATTGACTTTGGTTCAGATATTAGGTTATGGATTTTTATCTAAAGGATATTTATTAATTTAAGTACGTACTACATTTTGAGTATTCAGGAGAAAGAAAAATAATATACATTTATGAATATTAATTAATATTAATTTTAATACCATTATTATTGGGGAAAAAGAATTTATAAAATTTAGTGTTATGTAAAAATACTTAATGAAGATTTTGAAAATGTTTTAAATATAGTAGTAATAATACTGTCGTCCTAAGTAAAAACGCCGTAAGTTCCAAAAAATAAAATAAAAAATGATTTAAATACAAATAACTAATTTTAAAATTTGGCTTGTGTAAAAGTATAATATAAGCAATAATCAAATAACTAAAATATCGTAAATCGTAGAAAATGTCGTGAATACTAGATGATAATGCCATAAATGTACTATGTTCAGCACTAACGCTATAAGTATTGTTGAAGATACGTTATTTTTTCTTAGCACTATGTACAAATTAATTGACGGCAATTTAGCCAAATAATACGAACTAAATTTTTTGAGAAAATATTCCAATATGCAAATTATCCAATTAATTATGTATAAATGTATAATTAAATATATATATATATATATTTAAATTTATAAATTGACTTACAAAAAAACAGTTTTGTTTTGTGAATTATTTAATAATAATTATGTAGCAATAAATATAATTATTAAAATGTATAATTTTTAATTAGTTACTGCATTTTTGCTTAGGAACACAGAATCAAAAGTTTTTACCAATACTAAGGTGCAATGTGAAAAGTAAAATATCTTGTTAAAAATTCATTTTATCATATTTAAAAAAAAATATGATATACAAATTATTATGATTTTATAAAAAAAATGTAAAATACAAAAACACGTTTTTTTCAAAATCATTCTACGGAGACTTACGGCATTTTGCTTATGATGGCAGTATATGTGTAAATTATTAATATGAAACAGGTATGGCGTGTGCTATAAATGTTACTAATTTTTTGAATTTACCAGTGAATCGTGTTTCTTACGCTCACTAAACTAACAATTAAATTATAAATATTTCTAAACGCAAAGCAATCATTCCTTGTATTATAAAAACATTTTAACCACAAAGACATTAAAATAAAGTATTTTAATATGCGTATTTTCATGTTATTTATATGTATTTACGCCAATGAACTTTAAAAAGTAAGAAGAAATTTAAAATTAATTTTCTGATTACAATAAATATATTATCATTAGGGCTGAGATTTAATGCAAAAGTATCTTTTTTTCTAGTGTTTTGAAACGTTAGTCCATAAGTATAAAATGTGTTTTGAGTGTTACTGATTATTTTAAAGTATTTAATTTTTTTTTTTTTGCATTTTTTGACAAAATTAATTTTAAATGCATTTTTCAAAATTTGTTCATGAAATGAAAAAAAATTGTTGCGATTAATAAGAAACTTTCGATAAACTGCCGACGTTACAAATAATAAATTATATAAGTTATTGTCGATGATATTTTTTTTATTATTATTTTAGAATGAATGATTACGAAAACAGAAGTAAAACAGAACTAAACAAATAACAAAAAACAATACTATTAAAAATAATACACTACTGTAATATAATTTAAAATTTTTTTTCCAATTTTTAAACTATAATAAATATAACTTAAATACATTTTATGAGTTTTTAAGTAATTTTCGCATATTTTGAGATTTTTTAGGGCATTATAATTAAAATCGATAAAAAATATAAGAATATTATATTTTTAAAATAAAATAACGAAGATGTATTTATGGGAGTCATTTATTTTTAAGTTTTTATTGTCTATTTTTATTCAGAAGAATTTTCAAAAAAACATATTTTAATAGTTTTTTTTTTTTATAATCAAAAAAATATATAGTATTTTACACATTATATGAGTACCTACATTAAAATTATTTTATTTTTATCGCGTATTACTGTAAGTTTAGTTATTATTTATAGGAAACTTATTAAAATAAAAATTGAAAATAATTTTACATACCTGTGCTTTGTTGATGATTTATTTCGTCAGAACATCTGGAAATACGGAGACTTAGTTGATACAGGCTTAAGTATCGGCGTCGATATGACCAATATCAGAAAACTATTTTGCTAATCCGCGTCCGTCATATATGTATTATTGTAGGTGTACGAGCACTAATTACCACCGGTCCCTATTGACGCAGCTTCGGTACCGTTATGCGATGCTACTGCCAACGCCAACAAGTGTTTATTTTTGTGATACTATTCTGTTTTATACCGGTGGTGTGGGTGCTTTACCGCGTAAAAGTTAGAACACGTGCATATGCTTACTGTTGTATCTGCGGTAATGAAAAGCGTGATTACGGTGGCCGGGATCGTGTATTATGATGATGATACGACAACATTAACGTTGATAATGTGGCCTATGTCTGTGGTGACAACTGCAGTTGCACAGTGATCGTTGATGTCGTGAATATTCGAGGCGGCGATTTCGTCTATTATTTCTGAAAGAATCCATCATGAATACGTAAAGGCAAGAAACAACAACGACCACGATTAGATACAGCTTGACGGTTTTATAGACGGTTATAAAAAATAAATTTTAATAAGTTCAAAAATATTTGGAAACTTTTTATGTTTTGTTGCAATAGGAGTAGTTACGATGATAACAATTATTTCACGATGACGACAAAAGCTGTCGAGTAAGTGGTATTAGTGAAGAACGACGATTGGTTGAATAATAATAGTGAAAAAAAATAATGGGAAAAAACAAGTTCAAAACGCTAAATTATTCTAGTACAATAATAAATCGCGCGGAACACACGAGCTTATACACAAGCATATGTAAAAAAACTTTCCCGAGAAACAGCAAAGGATGGGAATGAAGACTTAGGCGACGTCGGTAATACCGCGGTTTATACAACACAACTGTTAAGTCGGATAATGAATTATTATGCACTGTGTAATTTTGAATAATAAAATACGACGCAGACGATTACAGTGGTCAACTTGTGGATGACAACAAGTGAAACTTTTAAGCACGAAAAAAAAAACATCAATAGAATATTAACGAAGACTTGAAAAATTTGGTAATATGGTATTATATCCGTAGTTAAGCAATAAAAGAAATTGTTAGTAGCGACGATCGCGGAGACTGGCTGCCAAAAGTTGACTAAATAGTCACGGGTTACAAAATAGCAGCAGCATCCGTTTAGCTACAGAGTCTGCCGTCAGAGCTAAAGTTCGAGTTGTGGGATGGGAGAGGCGTGTAGGGAAAGGACTACCTATGAATCCGCCTACGTTCAATAATAATTCGGGAAAACCACCTATATTGATACCGATGGGCGGGCGATTGCATTCCGCACACGCGTCACAGTAAACTGAGTCGAAGGGGGTAAATACAGTATCAACATGACACTGAAAAGCTATTTCTTACCGCAACAGTCTATACCTTACCCACCCGCACCAGATAACCCAGCGGATGACTGACGACGGCCATCCTCATTGAAGGAAAACATAATCTAGGGCAACAATCACCGCCCACATTACCTACCCTCGACAACATAATATATTTTACGACCCAATTTTGGAGTGAAAGTGGTTTCCATGCCTACACTCTGCTGTCACTGTTGATCGATCCAAAACAGATTTTCCTAGGTATAGCACAATCGCCTCTCTTAACTAAAAATATGTTGAATTGTCACCGCCCTCACAGAAACCACCCTCCCATTTTCAATCCATTGTAATTATTTAAGTGTTTATCCGTACACAATTTGATTTGGTAGAGATTATAATAAAATTAATTTTCAGAATCAAAGCTTACTTTACATTAATTTGGATTATACTCGGATAATAAATATTTGATTTTTAAAGTTCAAGTAAAAAATTAGATAATACACGAACGTTTAACATTATTATTTTTGAAATTCTAAATAAGTACGGATTAACCATCAAATTAAACATACGTTTTTTGAATTTTAATTTGTAATAATAACAATATCATGAGTAAAAATAAAGAACAAAATGCAATAACTAATTTATTTTCATTTTTGTTTAAGTTGCAGTAATGAATGTTATGACTTATGAGTTATGACCTAAAGAACAAATTTAAAAACTGTATTTTCCATATATTTGCATACTTCCTTGCATATTTCTAATAATATTTCTTTAAGAATAGTTTTGCATTTTTTAGATATTTTATCATTATTAAATAAAAATACAATCAGTTAATTAATATTTAAATTTAAATTTAATTCAAATAAACTATAGGTACATAATATTATTAATTTAGATTTATAACAAGATACACCCAAGAATATATAGTTTGGCCAGAGAAATATAATAAGATATTGATATAAAAAATAAATAAGTAGATGAAGTACAAATAACATTTTTTATATGACAATTAACTAGAAAAAAAAATATGATAAAATACAACTACAATGTTATAGTATACTTAAAAAAGGTAGAAATTAATTTTATCGAGAAGCATTAGTCTTATTTGTGAACAAATTCCTACAGTACTATATACTTGCATGAACATTTGTTTTTTGTTGTTGTTCTTATTTTTAACAGTCCTAATATATACACCTAGTCATAAATAACATAATATAATAATAATAATTATTATATTATTAAACATAATTTATGTATCAATATTTATTAAATTCTATTCCTTTAATAACAGTAGTAATACAATTCTATTGTAAAAAGTGAACTCTGATAAATGTGGTCATGCTGTTCTAGTGTGTAGAAAATTAATTAGTACTTATTTTAATTGTGTACAACACAATTTTTTACTTTTTTTCATCAAATATATTCGTGCTGTTTTTAAACTTTTTATGATTCTGGGTACTATTTAAATTATAAAATTTGAAAATATATTTTTAAGCTATATTGGATTTTAAATTAAATAACTAATTGAATATCTATAAATTAACAAAATTTGTTCACCTTATTTAATTAACCCAAACATATAACAACAATATGTTTACTAGTAGTGGCTCATACAATTTACAAATAACCAAAAACCAAAAACAGTGAATAAAACAAAATTATTATAATAATTATTTAGGAAGTATTCAAATTAAATTAATATCCAATATTAATCAATCATTTAGCTAGTATAACTTGAGATTGTAAAAAAAAAAAAATAGATCTGAGAGGTTTTATAACTTAAAAAACCCAATATCATAGTTCATACATATTTCTGTTAATTTGATATTCTAAATTGTAAAAGAAATACAAAAGACTTGAACTAAAATACAAATAATGTTTCTACTCATATGGCTTAAAAAGATAAAAAATATAGTTCAAATTATCAAGTATAAATATGATCAAACATTTGATGCAAGTACTAATGGCAAAAAAGTATCCACTTATGATATATTTGTATTTTGTTTTTTTTTTAATCTTATAATTTTTTTTTTAATTTTAATAATAAATAGTGAATAAGTAAGTAATTAATAATAATAAAATCATATATTTTTATTAGTTATTTTAAATAACAAAATATAATACAGTATTAATAGATAGCAATATTACACAAAAATTAAACAAGCTGTAAGATCATAACACAGCAAATTTCAAATTCAGAAGATTTCATTTTAATAATTGTATTTTTAATATTAAAATTAATTCCAAATTAAATGTTTAAGTAAAATATTTTTCAGAGCTTCTCATATGTTTTAAAATGACTATAACTTGTTTCTACATTGTATGTATTAAAAAAAAGCCTACATGGGGTTATAGATAATATGGGGAATATCATTCATATTTTTAAGTTTAATAATAGTTCAATATTCACTCTTATATAAAAAATAACAGTAATACAGATTCACCAAAATGTAAAATTTGCAATATAAATTAGTAAGCCAATTAATACATGATGTGTTCTAGAAAATATACACAATCATGTTTCTAAATTAATACACTATACCTATGTTTTGATTTTATAATTTTTAATATGTTATGACTGATGTTTAAGGATTTAATCAATTTAAGTTATAATTTATATTTATTAATGTTATTACTTATAGCTTCATAATTCCAGTTATATAAACCTAGTTACATGAGTAATTTTCTTTAAGTATTTTTCAAACTTGAAGTGAAATGTATGATTATTTATTTCATTGATTAATGTTTTATCAAAATTAATAAAAATTAAATTAGAGTGAAGTTAATCACTTCTCTACTTTTTTTACAATCAAAATTCTAAAAGTTTTTATAAAAAATAAAATTCATATTACATAAAAGGAAAAAAATTAATAAGTTAAATTAATTAATCAAAAGTTAAGAAAGTTGAAGTTATTTTTGCAGCAATTTTAATTATAAAGTTTGTTTTTGAATTATAATAATTATATCTAATTCTTATTAGGAAGATATGCAAAAATATTTGAAAAACATCACATTTTCATTAATTATTATAAATAAAAATGTCTTCAAATTGAAAAGATTTTTAATAAATTAATTGATTATATTAACATTTAAACAAATATACACATAAACAAACTAATGTAAAAATGTATAAATTATTGTTTTTTTAATTGTTTGCATAGAGATTAAAAGATATCAAATAAGAATTAGGTAATCTTATCAAATGTAACTTTTGAGATATTAGAAAAAAAAATAAACAGTAGTAGAATGATCACATATGATATTTTAGATGAAATATTCTTTAGGTATAGATACCCCAATCCTTCATTAATATGTAGGTAGTAATAGAAGTGTTTGCTATTTTATAGAGTGTTGAGAAAAATCTATTTCATAATGCAATCATCAAAAACACAATATTGTGAAAATTAAATTAAATAACAAGTGTTAAGCACAATGGGAATAAACTGAGGGCTGATGGGAAAATGGCCATATTTAAAATGTACATAAAAATTTTTAAATTACTTTTCTTGTTCAGTGGTTAATTTTTAAATAGATAGCATGTTTTATTCTTATTAGACGGTTTCAAACTATAATTTTAATATTTTATAAATTATACCTATATGTTTATGGTTTGTTATTTTTTTTAACAGAGTATTGAATTTATATTTTAATGACTAGGTATAATAGGAACATATTTTATAACTAGATTCTAGCCAACTTTTTTATTATTATTTTATCTGATACTAATGATAAGTACAATAATACAAATTTAATATAACTAAAAATTGATGAAAAAATGGGATTGAATAAGTACTCTAAAATGTCAGAAAGATTATTTAAAGGAATAATTGTTTATACAAATATGAGAAAAAGACATATTCAAATTAAAAGAAAATTTATAACAATATTAATTTCATAACCTCTGAAGGAGACAACCATAATTTTAATTATTCAAACACTAATAGTATTTAAAAAAACCAGTTTAATACTTTAAAATAAGCTTTTACAGTATTTAAAATAGTTCATAAACCTACATACATGTAAGTCACCATTATAATGCATTACTTATCGAACATGTCTAAGAACTAAGAACAATAAGAACATTTTTTTGTCAAAAACCTTCAAGGCTATGACTTATGACATATTTAGAAATCATAGTACCTAAAGCCTAGATCTACCATACATTTTGGTATTCTGATAAACTGTTTCGAGATGATCCATTGTTAAAGAAATACATTTTAATAATTAATACAAACATTTTGTTATATATTAAATATTTCAAGTATAAAAACTGATTACCTACTTGATTTATGATATACCTATGAGATATTTTAGATATGAAACTGGTGATTGGCAGCGGAGTAGTTACAAGATATTTCCCATAAAAATCCTACGAAAAATGTTGATACGGGTTTGAGTAAAATACTATATCAATATTTATAATAATCCACTAAAACCTACCCTACCTAAAGTTGAAAATGTGTAATTATTGCCCGTTAGGTAAATTAACTGTAAGGTACAATTAGTATGTCTAAAATGTAACGGTTAGACTTACCCTTAAGTTCTAATAATTGCACAAATAGGAAGCTTGTTACAGAGTCTGTCGGAATGTTGTTCGTCTTGCGCTGCGTTTTATCAAACATTCATCGGTCTCTCGGTGTAACGGAAACGGGCGGACGACAGACAGACAGACAGACGTAGAGAGCAATCGGTCGGTGGACAGCAACGGGGTCAGCGAAACGCGAGACGGGTGCCGGACCAACGTCACACACCAGGAGGCGGCTGCCTAGCTTTTTACGCGATTTGAAAACAACGTCGGATCACATGGGCGCCGCACAACCGTAGCCTTTCGCTGTTCCGGGACGCTAGTCCGCTAATCGTGCAGCTAACCGCGAAACTGACGGCGGGACGAACGAGGTGTGTCCAGGGTACTCGGCGGCTGGGATCGTTTCCAGACTCGGACGGACATGCTCCGCACACACCCGAGAATACGTTCGCGGCGCCTATGACGGGATACACCGTCGCAAGTGCAGATGTCGTCGACTTCAAGGAGTCGTGGAGCCGGAGGAGTCGATCTCGTCGTCGATCTGAGTCTACGATACCCCGCGCGTTCCGTCGTTCCACCGCCGCCCGTGTGATTGCCGGCGATAGACTCCGCCGCCGCCCCCGCTCAGCCCCCACCACGAAACACGAAAACGCCAGCGGATGACCTGCGTTGAGCCGGCTTCTCTTTGTTTACACCGCGATAACGTCGCGCGGACACCCACGACAACAACGACTACTACTACTACTACACTACCACTACTACTACTACTACTACTACTACTACTACTACTACTACTACTACTAATACCACTACTGCGAACGAGCGTGGTCTGCGGTGCGCGGATTACAGGCCCTGTAGTCCCCCCAGTAAGGGCCTAAAATTTTCTATTTTTCGTACTACAGTACTACACACTATATATTATTTTAATCAAACCGAGTGTTGTAAAGTGAATAGTGATAATATAGAAAAAACATTATTATTTGCTACACACTTTTGAATTTCGTAATACACTAATACATATTGTTTCATTTTTTGTACTACAAAAGTGTGTCGTGTAGTACACACAATTTTAGGGCCTGGTCCCAGTTCCAGGACGGTGAAACAGAGGGCGATGCGATTTTTGTCGATCGTAAAAAAAACCGGACGTGTCGCACGATCTCGTTATAATCAGGGTTGTGAATTTATAGGAAAGTGCATTTTTTTTTTTTTTTTGGTGATAGTAAAACATAGCTTTGTAAGTACATAATTTGAATTATGTAATTACGAATCCATCTATGAAACTTTAATTTTGCATTTTTTAGGTCATTTTTTCGCATTTTTAGGTCATATTTTGCTTTTTTTAGTTCATTTTCTAGTATTTTTAACCAAATTCTGTCAATTAACTAGTTTGAAAACTTTTTTTTATTTTACACAGGCTGGATATATTATGTCAAATTTTTTAACTTTTTTTTATTAAATAAACACTTTTTTGTACTAATATTTAATATCCTGTACCTAATATTAATATAAATATAAAAATTAAATTAAAAACCATTTTAAATGAATTTTATACTATAATTTTTGGCATTTTATATTCCTATTTTTGCATTTTAAGTGCATATTTTATTGCATTTTTTAAGGTTTTTTAGTGC